TTGATTGTATACTGAAGCTTAAAAATTAAAAGTAAAAAGATGACCGGGGAATTGTCCCATCTCAGAACAACAGTAGAACCCTCTGTAAATAACTCCTCTTTTAACCATCAGCTAAATGAACACTTCAATACTGCACTACAAAGTCTTCTGCAAAATTACTTTAACTAACAAGCAGAAATTTATCAGCTTCAGCCAAAATCAATGCTGAAATCAATTTGAACACTGGTTGTGTCTAAAGGGGCTCATTGGCAATTTAGGGAAATTACACCATGTAAATGCCTGTGCTTTAATTGAACAGTTTCATCAACTAGGCTGTGATTGCTGTCCATTCATTTATTTACTCTCACTGCAGCTCCCATTCTGCAAAGGAATGGGTTTTGTCAGACTTGAAGGAGGTACTTTATCTTCATTTTATGCACTTTTGTGCATAACAGATTTTATGAGGCAGGCAAGTGATAGCCAGGGTCAAAAGAAACAAGTGAACAGCAATCACTGGTCACTCTTGTTTAAACTGCAATGATAATATGCAGAAATTTGGGGGAGTATTTCTGACTTACTCCAGCTATTATTGTTCTAACGCTTTGCAGCGCGACTAAAAATAAAACAAAACAAGAGAAACGGAAAACGAATGTAGGCTGGGAAGGGAAACAATGGAAAATGCCTCAACTGCACCACAGGAATGCAGGGAGATGCCATTTTCAGACTTCAAATGGCCACAGATTTGTTTTAACACCAAACAAAACACTGAACCTGCCTGCACCTCCTTTCTTCAGAGCTGCATCAAGCACTAGAGACATCAAGCACTGGGACAAGCAATGTGTATGAAATGTAGTGAGAACCTGCCACAGGCAGGACCCCTTCCACTGGAGCAGCTTGCTCGAAGCCCCTGTGTCAAACCTGGCCTTGAGCACTGCCAGGGATGGGGCAGCCACAGCTTCTCTGGGCACCCTGTGCCAGCGCCTCAGCACCCTCCCAGGGAAGAGCTTCTGCCTGAGAGCTCATCTCAGTCTCCCCTCTGGCAGGTTAAAGCCATTCCCCTTGGCCTGTTCCTACAGACCCTTGTCCAAAGGCCCTCTCCAGCTCTCACAGACCCTGTTAGGCACCGTATCACTTCCCTTACTCTCCAAAACAGCTAAATCTCCTCCTGTTTCCCCACTCCAGAATTGACAATGCTTTTCCCTGCTGATGTGCAAGGATGTGCAATACACTGGCAGGCGCCATTTGCAGCCTGGCTTGCAGGAGATAGCAACTTTCCAGCTGTCTTGCCATACACTATGTTTAATGTGCTAATGGGGCACCCCAAGGTTGGTTGAGATAGAGAATAAGAAAACGGGCATATGCTGGAATGTACAACTGAACTGAACAGCAGAATTGCTCCAGTAAATTGCTCAAACAAATTAAGCTTCTGCATTTACCCGTATTTCCCTGCTATACAATTCTGCTGGGCGGGACATCATCAACAGCCACATCTCTCCCAATTACTCAAGTGAAAGTGAAGCCGTCTGGTTTAGCAGCATTTTGCTAAGATGGTAACCGATTCCCCCTTTTCTTCCCTCCCTATCCCAGACATTTGGTAACTTCACAAATTAATTAGGGCATCACTGGGACTTTATGTTTATTTCACTATACGGAGGGTTATGGCTTTCTGCTGCTGGAAACTCCTCTAACAGAACCCAAAGATCTACAAGCCATACACAATGCACATTTTGAAAGAATCCCAGACATGCAGAAGGAAACAGTGATACTATACATATGCCATGTGAGAGAGACTTCACAGAGTAATTATCTACCAGAGACAAATACCTCTACTTTGTAGTACTTAGGTTCAAAATATATACAACTAAGGATTTGGGGTCTAAACAATTTAACGTAGCTACTCCAGAGACTAGCTGGCAAAGCCTATACATACCCTTACAAACCCAAATGTTAACCTTCTTTCACTGAAGAGAAGCAACCTCATAAAAACAGCCTCTTAGAGCTCTGCAGTCAGTGATGGAGCTAAAAGATGCAGCACATCTGCATCATATTTCAATGTCTTTTGGACCTAGCAGTGAATGATTTCTTCCAAAATAGCAATTTAAGTAAATACAATAGAAGCAATGCTACACAGAGGTATTCTGCTGCTGTGAAGCAGCCCTAACTGTACAGTTACCATCCTACCAGATTCTATAACTACCTTATAAGATAGCTGATAACAATTAGAAAGCCTGTTGAAGAGCTGGAAGTTCGTACATCTACCAGTGCAACAGTCTTAGGGCTCTCTTGTCTGGAAAGGTGCGGATCTCCGTGACATAACAGCAACTGAGAGTTTCCAAATATTCACAGAATTGGATAATTAACTGGCTTTGCCATATCTAACTCCATAATTGTTATCACGCCTTAAATAAGAAAACAGCTTATCAAAAGGTAAGGGAAAATAGGAAGTCAAACAACTACACAATCCCTTCTCTTTAGAGCAGGGAAAACATTGAGATTCAGCAAGTTCTCACTGGAAATATTGCTATAAAGTATTGATTTTTTACCAGACTCAATTGACTGAAAAGTTGTTTGTATAGCAATACTGGCCGAGCCAATATACTGGAACAATTTTGCTACACACAGTAATCAAGTGTATTTCTAAAGTATAATTATACTGTCATAAAAATAAAGCTAAGATACCTCTTCTCCAAGCAATGAAACAGCTGCAGCTGTAAAGAACCCAAATAAATGAAATACATTTTCTAACTAAACATAACGTCTTCCAAAGAGAACAAAACCACCCCCCCTCTCCCCTCCTTAAGCCAGGGTTAGCATGAAAAGTGATCAATACTTCAATCTCAATAAACTATTTCAATAGTAGTTAATTCACGTGGAAAGAGAGGCTCAAGATTTTTGCTCAGCGACCTGCGACACGCTCTCTTGTTTGCTCAATGCTGATAATATATCATTGCCATAATGGATATGACTTAGTATAAAGAGCCAGAAAGAAAGGGGAAAAAAAGATACCACATAGCCACGCTCGTTCTTTAGGCTTGGATCAATAATACACACTACACACAGGCTCTTCTGCACCGAGCCAACAGCATGGTCTGCCACAAGAGGAAAACAGCCAAACACTCGCAATTCATTTTATTTGACAAATGTTCATTGATTTACTGGAATAAAATATATGTGGGCTGCTATCTATGACTAGTGCAATCCAGCTACCTGTAAGTATTCCATTTTGCAGTTTCTTCTTGGCTTGTGCAGCTCAGATGCTCCTTTGGCAAAGAGAACAGGTTGCCTTTTACAATGGGGTGATTGCTGGCCAGGCTGGAGCAACCTGGTCTAGTGGAAGGCGTCCCTGCCCATGTCAGGGGGTTGGAGCTGGATGAGCTTTAAGGTCCCTTCCAACACAAACCATTCCATGACGCTATGACTGTTCCAAGGTATTTTGTATATAATTTATTTATATTTTTATACCACCTTCTGCACCTCTCAGCGCTCTGTCACTGCATGTACAGCAAGCATGGAATGTTCCTTGTGAGTAGGGCAGATACAAGCTGAGAGACATTAAATTCAGCAGATCTTCAGTGCAATCCCAACAACAAAGTCCACATTCACTTGCCTTGGTTTACATTCCTTAGACTTTGGCCACTATCAGACAGAAAGAAGGCGAGAGACTTTTGTATGACCTGGCATGGCCATTCTTAACGCTGCTCATGGTTTCACATTGCTAGCTCCTTATTTTGGCTAATAAAGAAAGTGACTCAGAACTGGGTAACAATGACACATAAAGGTTCCCTCACTTCATGGGACATTCCTTGTTCCTAACAGTGCTTTCCACAGGGACCAGAGTCCCTTTTCATTACTATCATTATTATTCGATTTCACTTTATTTCAATTACTAAACTGTAAGTAAGATAACAATACTGCTTCTGCAAGTTTCTTGGTCTAGCAATACCTTTCTACAAGAGAACATCAATGAGATGTCTGAACTATGTTCCATCTACCGGGCTAACCTGATTTCTGAAGAGTCCATTCAAAGACTGGATTTGTTCCTTTAAGGTTCTGGAAGTCCGTTTTCACTAAACCTTCCGCAAGGAGACTCGTTTTGCCATGTTGGCAGCCAATTAGAAACTACACTAAATGCACCATGGCTTTTAAAACATCTAAAAAAAAATGTTAATCTCAAAGTTAAAATGTCTAAGGTATAAACAAAATCATAATGGGATGCTGGGTTACTGTATATGGTAAATAGCTCTCTGGAGGAAACCTTTATTACTCCCTCAGGGCTTTCTTACGAAGTATGGATTTCTTAATTCCTAGTGGAATATTTTTCATACACCACTGCAGACTATTAAGTATCAGATATTACATTATGTAGTTTAAACTTTGCACTATGCATGAGAAAGACTTTCCTGTCGAGAAAACTATACCTCTGCTATTATAATCTTTACAATATTAAAATTAATACTGGCTGCAGGGTATAAGCTTCACTACCAAAATTTGGGGGAGTTTATCATTTAATGTATTCATCAGCCTATATGTGAAGCTGCTCGTGAGGGAGGGAAGTCACTGCAGCAGCAAAAGGGGTTATTTACTAATTTGGAATTGCTAGAGAAAGGCAAAGCAGCGGTGTCATCACATCCCACTGGTGTCATTCTCAGTACTGGGCTAGCAAAGGGCGTGGTAAAGCAGCAAGAATAATGGCATTGCAAATACTGAAGGCAATTCATTATGCTTCAGGACATTTCAAGTTCCACTTGTGAACCATTAACTTGTTACCCAGGAGGGATTCAAAGCTAAGTATTAAAAAGATAATAAAAATGCACCAGCCCTCATGGCACCCAAGAGCAGATACCTTGTAAATATGGAAAGAGGATTCTTAAAAAGTTCCTATTAAGAACGTATTTTATAATCTTTTCTTCACAGCAGCACTGCCCACCTACATCTCAATACAAATATAAGGGTAACAAAAAATAAAAAAAGGCACTTTTAAATTCCGTTTTCAACAATTTGAAGTGAAATTCAACACTCACTTGTAGACTGTGCCTCCATTGCCATGACCGAGGATGTCTCGATACCGTATGTCTTGTTCATTCATCTCCACAAGAAAGAAAGAAAAACAAAAGAGATGTCATGCTGTGGATGGAAATGTCAAGGAAAAGCAACTCTAGGCCATAAACAACAAGCAGTCTGGGTCATTTCAAGTTCAGCTGCAAGAACGAGAAGATCAATACAACATTTGCTGTCCAATTTATAAAAGACGATACCAAGGGACAAAGTGATGGAAAGTTTAATGACAATTTGTTTGCCTGGGTCATTTCATTAAAGTTTGATAAAAGGTGTCAAAATGGAATGATATAATATAGCTCAAGAGGGTCAGGTCACAGATACTGATAGGAAAAGGGTCTCCAGAACAGCACATAACCAAAGCCAAAGTTGGAGGTGAATGGAAACAATCCACCAGGAAACTGTCATCTTAAGAATGGCTCAAAAACTTGATGATTTATTCTGGAATCAGCATAACTGATGCTAATTGACTGACAGTTCTGGCACTCTGAAAGCTTCACAGTGCTTCATTTATTCACCTTTTAACAAAGGCAAATCTTTGGAAAACAGTCTTGATGTGCTATCCAACAAAGATGACTTTCCTTGAAATACACAATTAATTGCTTGCCTCGATCTTTCTGTTCACCAGGACAACTCTCCAGACATGAAGATATCCTCAGATCTTCAACGGAAGCCAAATACAAGCACCATATATTGCAAATGCTGGAATTTGGGATCTTTCTGATATTGCTTTTATAAAAGCTTACTGTAGTGCTGAATGAACAATTCAAATGTAAAACTACAGTTCAACCTTTTCCTGTACAAATACAGTTATTCTGATTTCCCACATAAACCACCTATTAAAGAAAGGTCACTGAAGACATTTTTGAATGCACATGCATGCTTGAAAAGAAAGGTATCATCAGAATGAATTCTGGGCTGTATGCATTTTCTATTACAAAAAGATACCCCTTGCTGCCTGAAGTTGCATAGGATTGGGCAAATCCCATATTAGAAGAGATTTTCCTATGAAGCATTAATTCATTTCTAGTAACCATTTGCATTTTATAGGATACCAAGTTAAACATTCCACATGAGTTGGCATGGCTGCTTAAAGACTGTCATTTTTGTGTGAAAAGGCATCAACCCCCCTAATGATACGTCTGCTCTGCTATCACTGATGTGATTAGAGATCACGTAAGCACATCTGAAATAGCTTCAAATCAGTGATTTCAAGTACCACACGGTGACAGCTCACCATAAGCCTATCTGTATTTATCCATCTTCTGAAACAACTTTTAAATTCAATGGGGACATGTGCCCTTAAGTTACTAAGCCATGCTTAAGCATCCCCTTTTGTATGATGTCAGTGAAGAGAAGAGGAAACTTTCTTCAACTGGAACAAGTAAGTGATCATAACAAGGTAAAATGCACTAAAGAGCCAATACTCAGCAAGTCTTAGGAACAAAAAATGGAATATTACTTGATTTTAAATAATATGTATTAAAGACATAAATGCTGAACTCCAAAATCTGTGCTCTTTCCTTTCACTATGTGAATAAATAGCATTCTTGTTTCTCACAGGAAATACTCTGCATTTCTTCCAGCAAGGGTAGAATCTCCAAAATCTGAAAAACTTCAAAATACCTCAAAGCAGAAGCTGACTTTACATTATCACCTATTTGTAGTTAAACCTGGGGCCAGATAATCTTAAGTGGGTATGAAATAGCCCATTCAAGTATCAAGGTTTAGGATGAAAATGAACATTTAGTTTATTCCTGAAAGCTATCTTACTTATTGCATTGATCAGAAAATGCAAATAAAAAGGAGGAAAAAAAGAGGTACCTCGTGAGGAACAATAACTCCTGAATAGGTTTTAAAGTATGTGAAGAATCTATCCTGGATCCTAAAACTCATTTCTCTCAGACTGCAGTACTCACTAATTTAAAGCAAAGCACACACTGGGTTTAAGGAGTTCTGCTCTTCTAAGCTGGAGGACTTTAATTCTCCAGCCTTTGAGGTAACAACAAGCATCTTTTTGCTATATTTCCAGCAATGTTCTTCTAAACATAACTCTTAAGAGAAATTAAATGAAACCATAAAGCCATGAACTTTTATCTTTGCTTCTTGGGGGGGCGAGGGGGGAAGATTTTTTTTGCAGTTACACAAGTTATAAGCAGCAAATTGAGCAGAACCAGAGACATAAAATGCATTCTCTTTTCTCCTGCTTTTTGCTAACTGGTAAAAAGAGTTATTTTCTTCACCTCAGTCCCTAAAAGACAGTGATAGGAGCAGCTCCATCGTCTGCCTTTGCACTGCTTGCACCCACTGCCAGCCCAGCACCATTTCTTGTCTCTATGCACAAAGAGCAACCAGAAACCCAGGGTGAAATAGGAAGCCTGGGGTGGAGCAAGTATCTGCCAGCAACCGATAGAGAGATAAAGCGTGATTTACTGGCTCAAATAAAGATGCCAAAAACATGTGGTGATTTATCTATTTTACTGGGAAAACTGGATTCTCAATCATAAAATGATAACATAATAACAATGAACTCAACAGTAAGGGCTGGAATATTAAACCTGCAAACCCAAGTTTGATTGGATGCTAATAGTAACAGAATTAATGACAAAGCGAAAGAGACTTCAATTATGGATCAGCAAACAAAACATCCCTTGCTTATACCTGCTGGTTTTGAAAGAAATCAGTGTCTATCTCTTGTAAATCATTAAAACCAAAATGCTCAATTAATCCTTATTTTATATGGAGAGGCCTGACAGAAGCAAAGTCCTATAGCCATACCTTTGCTTTACGAATCGAAGCAATAATGGTTTCAGAAAGGAGTCACACTCTATGAGCAGACAATTGAAGAGATTTAGTAAATCCCACTTTATAGAGCAGAGACTAATCGGAAAACACAAGCCAGTCAAATGTTTCTTATGAACTGTTGACACTATATCAATGCTGAATCAATTGGTGGCATTTACTCTGAGTGACAGAAAAGAAATAAATATTTATATCACATCACCTATATCAATGAACCTAGGCAGAAAGCTATTTCTAACTTGTCAATATTTGATTATCTTGAAGAATCATGTCCCCTTCTTTTAATGATTAATATGAATTCCTTATTAAACCTAAATGGAAACTACTAGAGGAATATCATTATGAATGCCTGAAAGCAGAAACTGCCAAAAAATAATACAAAATAATAACCCAACCGATACTTAAGTAATGATGAGTGTGACTTAACCCCCCAAAAGGAGAAAAAGTTAAAGTTACAACTAGAAACCTATCTCCAGTTAGGGAGCTGTGACTAAATTCTGCAGAACACAATGCAGCATAACGAAAAGCATCTTCTCTCAACAGAAAGCAGTGCAGCTCCGGCCAGAGCAGGGGGACTGAAAGGTAGGGTTAAAACTTACTTTTTCTTTTTAAACGTTTTTAAATATCATAGTAAGAGCTTTGGTTCCTTTATGTCTTTCTACAATTCTACTATGCAGGAAAGAAATCCGTAAATCTATTGCAGGGCACAGAAAACACTCATTTCTATTGCTGAGAACAAATGAAATGCCAAATTCAGCTTATGGACTCAATCACAAAAAGACAGCTTTTACTCACAGTCCATAATTCTACTTCAAAACCTATTAGTAATATTGGAGTAATTATCAACTTGATTTTCAAGGTTCAGAAGCATGCTGCTGGTATTTACAGGATTTTAATTTATCCAGAGAAACAGACTGCACAGGTATAATTTTGAAACATTAACAAATCTACCTGGTAGGCACCTGTGAATATTAAACTCAGTCTGCACGTCAGGCTTTAAAATACATTTCCAAGCTGTATTCAAAGGATTCAGTGCCAAAGAGGCAAGGCTGCAGCACTGGGCTGCTCGGCTCACATTTTAGAGGGGCACCCTCATCTATTAGACCACAATGTTACAGGTGATACTGAAGGACAAGCATGAAGACCAGCCTTTATCTTCTTGACACGCTCAACTACAACTACTTGATTCATGAAATGCCAATGAGGCTTGGAGAGGTCATTGTGTGAAGGCACTGAATACGCATCTGAGATAATTAAGATTTCAGCCTTCGAAACATGGAGGGGAAGTGAACAGCAGTTAAGAAAATCAATAAGAGTCTTTTATTTGCAGTGACACAGATGTCTCAGTCAATAGAGCCTAATAGGCAAGCTTGATCGCAATGGACAGGTGCTGCCTCCAAGGCTATCAAAGGGCTTTCACTATGACAAACATTAAAACATATTTATGTTGGTGCTGCTGAAGAATCTAAGGTTCTTCTAAAGGTAGTTTAATTTACCAGTGTATATTTAATATCATTATACTACCGCAAGCCTGGCCATACGTTCAGCTCAAAACTGGTATGAAATGTTTCTCCAGGACATCCATTTCTCCATCGTTACATTAAACCTTTTACTTCTGGGTGCCAGAATCTGAATGTCTGGAGCAGGAGAAGCAGCAACACGACAACTTTCCACAACTCTGGGGTTTGTTTTGCTTTAGGTTGTGTTTTAGGTTTTTTAAGAAGCCACAACATAAGGTGACTGCAAATAGTAGCGAGCAGTTCCTTGCAAGAACCTGCTAAATATTTAAGTATCAACTGCCCTAAAAACCACAAAGGTCATTTGAAGTGAGCAGTTGACTTAGTTATTCAAAATTGATTAACTTTCTTCCTTGAAATTGTGGCAGCAGCACAACATGTGTGAGGTACTTCAATCTATTTGGAGCTAAATCTGATTAGCACATTTTGAGAAATGGGAAGCAAATTGCTATGCCAATCAAAGCAAATCAGGCTACATAACTCATTCATATCATGAAGGTTTTCATGGTTCTTCCAGTTCTGTGTTAAAAGAACACATTACAGCTAAATGAGCAGTAAGCATCTCTCCACCTATTTGAGGTGTGCCAATCACTGCAGAATGAGGCAGTAACGAGACATGCATGTAGCCCAGGCTCAATTCAATACACCTACCTGGCCATTTGCAAGTATTTTCTTCAGCTCTGCAGAAGACTTTTTTAAGCTGAAAATAAGAGAGAGGCAATTATTTTAAATGACTGTGCCATTTCACTCTATAAAATGAAGTGAAAGCATGAGAAACCACAAGCTGTCAGGTTAAGTTCATGGTTACATATTCCGAGCAGGCTTAACATCAACAATGCTGACTGATGGTCAGTATAGTTACTTCATGAACTACAGACAGCACACACGGAAAGCAATGAACAGTTTAAAAACTCCATGTATTCTCACCTTTACAAATTGTTTTAGATACCTGACTGTACTGCCCTGTGAGATACAACTTATTGCCAGCTCAAAGAATAAAACCGAACATATACCCTCACACCCCTTAAGTTTCAAGAAACAACATGAAAATCAGGTTCACACCCAGTTTTCAGGTGCCCCATCTTGTTTTAAAACTCCTGAAGGCATTATCCCTCAGTAATTTCTATAAATCTGCAGCAGAGTTGTATGCTGTCGATGCAGCCTCACCACCTCAACTGACCATAGACTGGAGCATGGTGCATAGGCAGCGTAAGTCCTGATTTAGGCATCTCAGGGATATGCCTAAATTCAGGGAGGTGAGGCCAGATTGCCACAGAGTCATATCACAGAATCCTAGAATGGTTCATGTTGGAAGGGACCTTAAAGCTCATCCAGTTCCAACCCCTGCCATGGGCAGGGACACCTTCCACTGGAGCAGCTTGCTCCAAGCCCCTGTTGTCCAACCTGGGATGGGGCAGCCACAGCTTCTCTGGGCACCCTGTGCCAGTGCCTCAGCACCCTCACAGGGAAGAACTTCTGTCTAAGAGCTCACCTCAATCTTCAATTCCAGGTCAACTTGCTGCTGTAGTCCCCCTATTTCAAAAGAAACTACTCCTCTGTCAGTGGTCTTACATTACTTTAAATGACCCATATATTTTTTTCTAGTAGAACTTTAACAAACCGCAACAATTGGCTCTCTGTGGTTTATAGGTAAAACTATTAATGGCTTCAAACTGCTTCCACTCACTTGCAAAATACTGCTTCACCTCCTTTCCTGACAAACTCTGTCCCTTGTTCGTTCAACACAACAACCTGCCTGGGTAGCAATATGTCTGCAAAACTTAATCTCAAAGAGACATTCTGCTCTTAGCACTGAAGTTAAAAAGTACAAAATAATATATTCTTGAAAGGCATGTGCACGTGTCTTGATCACAGATCATTATTAACAAGAACAGTGAAAACACAGATTTCGTATTTGGTGGCTTTGTTCTTTAATAGGCCTCTTGTTCCCACGACTACTTTAAAGCAAAATTAAGTTTTCCAAGGAAACATAAGTTGATCTTGTCATCTTTCATGACTAACAATTTGTGAACATGAAACAAAGAGAGACTTTCAATTACTTCAAAAACCAAACTCGTAGTGCAGAAGGTTTCGGAAAAGGAATGGCAATTAACCACCAAATAAGGTGACAAGAATCTTCTAGAAGCCTCATTTTCAATGCACTTCAAGAACAAGCTCAAAGTACAGGAAGTACTGAAAGCAAAAGCACAACAGCAAGAGAAAGCGGCTTTATTTAGTTCAGCAATGTGACAGATTGGGAGGAGGGCTGCAGTTCATAGAGACATTCCGATTTATACCCTTTAAAGAGTATTGGTGAGGATCTTCCCCAAGGGATGGGGCAAACTTTGCCAGAGGAGATTGATACAAGGTACTGGCTTTCTTTTTTTTACCTCTACAATTTGCAAAGCCACTGAAGGGAGCATCAAAATTGGTCTTAGTGGTAGTTGAAGGGGGCTACCAATTGCAGGACTACACCAGCACTGCTGCCAACCATGCGGGGTGGCATCCTCCTTGTCAATGGGTAACCATGTCACATCACTCCCACCATATGAAGCTGGGGTTTGTGGGACTGTCCCACCACTGCAGCACTTCGTAGTGTCTGACATAGTGGCTACCAACACCTCAATGCCTGAGCAGGTCTAAAGCAGTATGATGGGTCTCTGGTCATGGTCATCTCTGCCCATTTCCTTATTCAAAATGCTCTAAGAGAGAAGGGAACAGTGAGCTGATGCACAGATATATGTAATATTATATGCTTATTAGAGTAACAGAATAACACAGGCTGAAAGAGACCTCCAGGGATTTCTATCCCACTTTCAAATATGCTCTTGTATGAAGAAGACAGAGTCAGACTTTTCTTATTCCTTTGTAAGAATATATAAGGGTTTTTTTTTGTTTTGTTTATTTATTTTAACATCAGATTGAGTACAATGACTGCCTGCAACAGCTCATGTAGTGACAGGGAATTTATGGTCCAGTTCTTAAATAAGAGCATATCTCTAGGAAAAAAGAAAACATGTTCCCTTGCAATTTAAGATCTTAATATGGGGTTTCAAATTAGAAGTGGAATCTAAAAAGAAAGATAAGGGAGATAAGACTTCCAAACTCTGCTGAAACTGTATGAAACAGGGCACTTAAGCTGCTCAGGTTTTTCAAATACCTTAGCCCACACAAAACCTACTGAATTTGATATCAAATTTTAAATCAAAGAATCCTAGAGTGAGGTAAGTAACACAGACCTGAACACACGGACCTTGCCACAGACTGTGACAATTAGATCAAGTAAACCAAATCAGCTCACCCACAAACAGTATTTCAATGCTTTATAAAGGACAAAGCCACCTGAAACACTCAGCAAAGACTTATTTCCTTCAGCAGAAAATACTTGTGAAGAACCAGCAGTTCAAGTCTAACAAGATCCATGAATCAAGGTAATTTCACCTTCCCCACTCCACTCCTGCGTGCCCGGTAGTCATATTGAAAAAGTTATTCAACATCAAGCTTACTGTTGGTACCTCTGCACACAAGGCTCCATTTTGTTTTAATAAAAGCAAAGAAAACAAACAATATGCTCCCGTTCTTGACTCTTACCTATTGCTTGGAAGGGAATCCGAGACGGCCGAGCTGCTATTATTAGCAGCCCCTGCTCGAGTATTTACCTGCAGGCAGGGAAAGATCTTGATCAGTCAGTTGTGTTCAGAGGACACTATTCTAATTAACCTGTAATTTGCCATGAATTTCTCATTTCACTCTGAAGGTTAATTAGCTTGTTGCTAGGCTTGCTGGTGGTTGAGGACTTGCCTCTATGTAGGTTAGCAGGCTATAGAATTCTTGGACCACACTATATAGTCTTTACATCCTAAAGGCTTAGTTAAATAATACAGAAAAAGGGATATGCCCACCGTTTCTTCTCATTTAAAACCTGAACAATCAGTTCATATACCTGTAGTCTTCTGCATTTCAAAATGGGTACGATTACAGCAGCAATAAGCATACCTGAATGAATCAAACCACCTAAAAGAATTTCATTGCTGTGCTTTCCACACTTAGATAAATGACTGAAATCAAATTAATACATTGCGGTTTTTTTAATGCTTTGAAGTAGAGGCAGACGTTAGTTGATAAACTGAGCATTAAAATTTAAGCACTTATTAGCAGAGGTTAAAAACAACAAGAAAGGCAATTCCGTTCTTAATAAAACTGTACACACAGCTCCTGCAGCCAACACTCAGCAGATGAATCCTTCCCCACCCTCACCAACAAAAAAATTAAAGGGGGAAAAAAAAAAATCTGCTTGTCAGAGCTGAAGAAAGTGCAGTTTTATTTGACATTTCAATAAGTGGAACACAGCATTACAAATCCATCTAACTTTACTGAAACAATTATTGAAATTCCTACCTTCAGGCCATGTATGTTCCGTTTCCCGGGAGGTTTGCAGGCTGAAACAGTAATTGACTAAATTGTAGAACACATCAGGGCCATTTACAAATTTGCTCAAAATGAATCTTTTAAAAAGAAATGAGGGTGACACCAAAATTAGCAGAGAGAAATGATTGAAAAGTGCCTCACAAGACCCAGAGTGGGAATTATGAACCAGGATTTTTAACTTGCAGGAGTGAGCATTTATAAATGCTAAGAGCTTTCTGACACCGTGTAATATAAATTCTAATTTCTGCTTAAAACACATCCAAATCAAGAGGGCTGCTGGCTTAAATGATCAGATTCTTTTTGTAATTCAAATTAAAATCCTATGTCACTATATTTTCACATGCTGTATTTTTTCTGCTGGCATTTAACAGAAATATTTGCAAGATACATTTTAAAGGACTCAGCTGCCACACGTCGTGAATTAGTCACATTGTCAAACACAGACAGTTTGTTTTAAATGTAGAATAAAATATGTCAGGGGCAACAGCAACCAAATCCTGGATAAAAGCAATGCAAAATGCTGCATTTTGGACACAGATGTACGAATGTGGCATGTTATGATGATGTCTGGGTTTAGCGAGGGACTTGCTGCTTGAGGAGAAAGTATTTTCCTCAAGTCTCTCCAAGTGTGTATTGCCTTGTTCTTCTGTTCAGGGGATGTGCTTTTGTCAAATGTTAAAGCCACAAAGGCTTCCAGCTACATGTTACAGACAGTTCCCATTTTAAAACTACAGTGCCCTACAAATTGTATGTTAAAGGGCCTGTCGCTTTTGATTGATTGTCTGAGGAGGGATGTATTTGATTTTTCTCTTTCTCTGATGCACATGCATTTCCCTTCAATTTTTGACAGCAGGAAACAGAACTATTTATTAGTCAGAAGGACACAGATGATAGTTATTAAACACATCAGTTAGGGCCAAGCCACGTGCCTTTACATGACATCAGAAATTACAGTGTGCATCTTAAAGAAGAAAAATATTGTGATACTGTGAGCATTAAAAATAAGTCAATCAGAAACCAACAAACTATTACAAAATATACATATAAGCATATTATATTTTTTCCCAATAGATGAAAATCAACATTTTGAACAAGATATTGAAAGAATAGTATTTTTTATGGTACATATTTGAATGGTGTCTTCACCTTGAATTGCATAGATGGGATATATATATCATAGGATACATATATCTGTATATCTGTCTATATAAAGATATCATAGTATATATTTTTATATATATACACACCTATCACACACAGGATATAGATCTCTATATCTATATATAGATATATAGACAGGATATATATCACTATATGTATACATATCATAGGATATATATGTATTATATGTATATATCTGTGTGTGTATGCAAACATACTCTTATTTCTATATATGCATACACAGAGGTTTATTTACAGTATAAAAAAAGAACTGTGGCTCTTATTATCTAGATAGCAACAATACATTTCTTTAAAAAAAAAATAACACTAAATAAGATTTTTGTTCCCTTAAAGACATTTAAGTTATCAAACAAATATAGCACAGGCAAGGTAATGTAGGATGGCACATGGACCACTACTACTGGCAGGCTGTATGGAAGGCATGGCTTTTTGGGTGCTGACTGGAGACAGCAACTGGAAAGCTTCCTCAGAAGTGAGAGGGGCAGAAAGGGAAAAGGACTCAAAGGAAGACTGTCCTTGCAAAGAAAGCTCCTAAGAAGAGAGAACCTGAAATTATATAAGAAAGCTGCACATTACTGATAGGGCTCTAAACTGCAGTACATGGGCAAAAGGGCATGAAAAAAAGTGCTTGTGCTAACAGAATTTGGGATGTTCATTAGAGGCAGGACGAGAAGACAGAAAACAATGCAGGAAAGCACATTTTGTGCAATACTGCAGAAGACCAGCAGCAGAACTTGGAAGCAGGCTGGGTATGAAGGAAGAAGCTTTAAAGCTGTAACCTAGGCAGAACAGATGTTTTAAGAAGGTGATTTAGAAAGATGAAACAGCAACTCAGCTCTGAAGCAGTTCAGAATCGGTGACAAGCCACTGACAAGGAAATAACCCAGGAGACACCTGTAGTTGAGCCAATGGTGAAAATGTGGAAATAATACATCGGGATTGTATCCTCAGCAGCATGAAGATGAATTCTGAATCTGCACAAAGATTATTCTTGGATGTAACGCAAATACAAAAAGGAGGCAGGAGCGGGAGTGGGAATCCACTTGACTGGTTCTTCAGAACAACCCAAAAGGAGAATCTAAAATAATTTTGTAATCTTAAATATCCCTTTAAACCCTGAGGCATGCAGCTACTGAGCACATCACAACTTCCTTTAACTGCTTGCTTAAGGGGAAATGTATCAAATTGCCTTGTATTTCCAAGAAGGGTTCCCGGCCTACTAGGATCATCCACCATCCACTAGATCAGCTTCTCCAAGCCACATGAAAGCCTTGCATTTTATTTCTTGCAAGTGGTGGTCAGTGTTTTTAGACATGGTGTATATCAGTAATTAAATGGTCTTCTACAGAAGAAGACTCTTCTACAGAGAGAAAGGTCTCAGCCTTTCTCTAAGGACCCTTTGAGACCCTCACATCTCAGCCTGGGAAGAGGTAGAAGGCAACTTCCCTCTTCACAGCTACTCTTGCACTCATCTCACAAGAGCACACCTTGACTGCTGATAGCTCTGGAGTCCCACAGCTCAAGCATCCGGGAGTCCCCCCTCTCAATGGGATCCTGCAGTCTGAGCCATAAAAGAATAATCTCTGTATTCCCCTTGAATTCAGGTCTCTCTTCCACAGGAGCACAGTAAACTACAGGAAACCCAACCTCCTTTGGAGACCTTATTAGCATGTGTTTGAGAAGGCTGTTGGTTAATTGCCCAATTCAAACTTCAGAGAGTTGTAAGTAATGGAAGTCGAGAATGTTTAATTGGGAAACTCATGGTATGATTATTTGTGCAATATCAGTTAAGTGAGAACAGTTTCATTTTTAATTATTTCAATTAATTTATTGCTGGGAGATTTACTTGGAGAATTTAAACCTGTTTCATCAATTAAGCAGCAGATTCAAAGAGAGCATCTGAATGAATCAGTGGAGTTATGTAATGCATCAGTCTTCCTTTAACCATTACTGGAGTTCAGAGAGAGCAGAGCACTCACAAAAACTGAACCAGCTGCCTACAGAAATTTGTTCAGGATGTAGATGACCTGTTTTTTAATTGCCTCAGCCCACATAACTGATTACACCTCTCCCTGTTCAGGAGGACTATTAAAGTACTTGGGATCATTTGGATACCACTGTTAAGTGCCCAAACATCACTTAAATGTGTCATGGATTGAACTGCTGTGACTGACACATTCCCATTTTCAAAGTGAACAATGACAGCCTGTTAAACTGATCAATGAGATTCGAAGATTTTAACAAAGCCCCATTTTCTTAAGTACCCAAAACTTAAGTTATTCATCTGCTTTGGTTTGAATACATGCAGAACCATCACCAATGAGGTTTTTAAATGTACTTAAATATGTCCTATGCAAACTGAATCTAGTTAGTCTAATTTACTCCAGTAAATTAGCTATTTTATATGCAATAAATGTAGTTTTCACTACACTCCCCACAATAACGAATCCTTCTATCCAAATTAAGAGGTAAACATCATGTTACATGCACTTAAACCTCCCCAGAAACATAACTGTTGATGAAACAGTTTACTGATATCATCATTGTTGATTAGAATTTGTTCAGCATTACCTCTTGGATATATCTGCAGAGGCTCTATTAACTGTCCATTTACTTGCTGTTCCATTACAGTGGAGTAATACTGCAAAGAGATTAAAGAAAGAGATTACTCAGTATTGTATACATGTAGTAAGAGCTCTTATGGATTGGTTAATTCAATGATTTTTTTTTTTTCATTGCTATAATACATGAGCTTTTACAATGCTTTCTGACCATTTGCAATGCTCACACAATGAAGTGGCATGGGAGGAAGGCAACCCGGAGGCTGCATTAGTACTGACTCCAGCCCACGGATCTGTTCTTGGCTCAACTACACAAGTTTCAGGCCCACCTGAAACCTGGGAATACCTCAGATGAGCGAGCAAATGCAACATTTACAGCAAACACAGCAGTTGCCGCACCTGGAGAAGCTGGGAAAAACCAGTCAAATGTGGACACGAAGAAATGCTGTAAATATAAGCACAAAGTGTGCTATTAGGAAAACTCTGAGGGAGAAAAGGATCTGGAAACCATCCAAGAACTTGCAGTGATGAAGCACAGCCAGGGCAGTTGGGGCCACATCCCATGTAAGCAGAGATGCTGTGCATTGCCTCAGTATGCACATCTAACACACAGTAGGGCAGGCAATGGAAAGCCATTGCAGACATGCTGAGACCTTGGACTCTACAGGAACTGCCAGGAGTGACCAGGAGAAGTTTATTGATAAAGAAAGGTGAAGAATGGACAAAAAGGGATGAAAAAGTATATGAGAACGTCATGACCCAAGAATATATAAGATATGTAAGGTGGTATGAGGAAGTCTAAGAAGTGGCTTCTCATGGGATGGCATCCTCATGAGGATGAGGATGAAGAGTGGGATTAAATACAGAAATAAAGATTTGGACTAAACAGTGAACTCTCTATTAGCCTCTTTTAATTGACCCTCACTCCAGAGGAGGAGTGAACACTCACAGGACATTTAACATTACAACCAGACAACCCTGGGGCACGAGACAGACCTTGCTATGAGTTTACTGCCTACAACCCACACATCTCTCATCACAACGTGTTACACGTTGACAGCACATCACAAAGCGCGTTTCTTCTGCAACCACCAAACATCTTTTGAAGCAAACACATTGGCTGTGGGCCAGATCTTCATGGCATAAATCAGTGCAGCACCACTGACTTTCAAGCTAATTCTCACCAGCCGAGTGTGGTCTAAGACTTCAGCATGTCACTGTTACCAGAGGCTTGTGATACTGTTACTCAAACTGGCAAGAATGGATGTCAACAAGGAAAAAAAAAACCCTTTCTGTGTCTTTGTGGAATCAAGCCACAGAAATACACAAGCCCTGTGTATTTCACTCACACTGATGGTTTCTTGTAACACAAGCATTTTTATTTACGCAACTTAAATAAGACAAAAGTTTATTAATGAGTTAATGCTACAGCACACTTTCCACTTACAATGGGATGAAATATGGACTGGAGTAAGCAAATGTTAAATGGACACCAAAGTCAATCTACATGCAGAAGTTTTCAGTGCTTCTGTTTTCCACATTTGTGCCAAGAAGCAGGAAGACATTTCCTTTCCGTTAAAAACCTGTTACAAAGGTTTTGCTGAGGGGTTAAGGACCCATCCAGCCCCACCTCCTGTGTGTACATCTAACGTGGTGCCTGCTGCTGAAAGCATTGCCCTCACTAAAATCTCACCACAAGACTTTTGAGGGTGGCCTCTCATTGATATTAGAGTACAAACAAAAATCCACACCTTAAATAACCACATGTTTATACAGAGCAAAGCTCTTCATCCCAAAAGCTCACTCTTGAAACAATCAGCTTTGAGGAGCTAGGACTATCCCATAGACTCATATAGGATCAGGGGGGTCATGAATAACACACCAAATCCTCTCCCACATCCCCATATCCCTTTGTAAAGAAGTGTCACTGGTACCTAATAGCTACAGAGCTGTGAAGAAATCTCCTGCTCCACTGGGAGCCAAAACTGCTTCAGAAAACCAAACTTTTTTATTACCCTTTTACTTGTGACATTCTAGGACCTACATATAGACATACATATACACACAGAGTATAAACACATACGACATACTCTCTAGAATAATGAACTAACATATATGAGATGGTTCCCTACCAAAAAAAGAGAGGAAAAAATAGAGGGAAAGAAAGAAAAAAACCACAGCCCTCTCCATTACTCAAACAGTGATGACAAGTAAATGAAATATCAATCATGTAAGCTGTCAACCTTTTGGGACAGCAATAACTGTTAACAAGTAGTCTGGAAAAATTGTCTGAAAATGACTTGGCCTCCACACACAAGCATTTGAGGTTTCCATGGAAAATTAAGATGCCAGTGGCTATTTGGAACATTGTTCAGGTATTCTTTTTAATGGAAAATTTGCCAGTTATTGATCCAGAGCATGTACCCCTTGCTTCCAGAAAGCTGCGAGCAACTTTCCAATCAGTGCCTGTCAAAAAAATTACTGCCTTTTTATACTGATACAAGACAACAGCTAAAGTGCAGTTCCACTGCTGTTCAATGGCTGGCTGTAATTAACTGCAATGCACAGTACAAAACTGACTTTATTCACCATCCCACAGTATTTGCACCGACATAACACAAGAGTATTTCTGCATACTCTAAAATAACTCCAGAACTGCCTAAAATAACTTTCTGCCAAGTTCTGAAACCAAGGAGCTCAAGATAAGAGGTGATGCATGATTCAAAACATCCTCCCCAATGACGGTGTCATACCTCCACGGAAGAGATGTGTATTCTCAGGGAATTAAACTGAAATAAACCCCTTTGCTTTCATTTGGGAGCACACTGGACCTGGAGGCAAACTGCACCACGTCAAAATTCCTAGAAATATTTCAGCAGCTGTTCAATCCTCCAAACATTTGTGGCAGGCCTCAAAATAGTAAAAAATGAGTAGTTTTTTTCTTCCCCAGTATATTCTTCAAGATTACAGGAAAGTCAATGCTTTTCTTGCAGGGTAAGGATATTTGTTTCCTGATAAACATAGCCCCAAATGACACCTATAGAATATTAGAAAGTTAAACCACCAGTGCAACACTCAAATAGAAAACTAGTTTAAAACTGAAGGGAAAATTTTCAGAGAAGAAAAGCTGCTGAAGCAGAAAGAAGTCATTTACAGACATCCCATAATTTTTAAGGAAAAGCAGAGAGTTGAGCAATCATAACTCTAATGTACTGAAACTTTAACAGTAAGCTTGGAAGCATAGCAAAAAGATGACCTTACAAAGGCATGATTAATCTTAAGACTGTGCCAGGAAAACTCAAGTTTTCAAGTTTAACAGCAAAAATGGCAGACATTTTATCAGGAAAAATATCAAGAAACGCAGGAATTCCAGTGGGGAAGCATCACCAGTGACCTAGCTGTATGAAACAGAACAAAATAAACCTCAAACAAGCCCAAAAGCCCTTTGACTGCAGCAAGATTTTTCTTCCTTTCTTTGACACAACTGTCTTATGCTCTTTAATATCAAACTTGTAATAGAATGGTTTCACCTCCTCTGGAAAGAAAACTGCACATGAGAGAGGCTTATTTAATAAATCCCAGGAGTTGCACAGAGATCAATCACCAGCATCTGGAACCTGCACTTCTTTGACCCCAAGATTAAGTCACATGCAATGACTAAAGCCTCTTTGAACCAGGGTTTGCTAACAGACTTCCAGCCAACCAATGTCCACTCCAGCCTGCGCAAGGCAAGAAATAGTACAACCTCTGCAGGTATCAGAAGGATCAGAATTCCATGGAGGAGCCCTTTCTGAAGCCTAGAAAATATGAGCCTCCTTCATGAGAAACATTCATCATTTGATATATTTACGTGCTAAGCTCACAAGAACAAAACTACACTGTTCTGATAAAGACTAGAGAATATGTGCCCAAGAGGGATCCAATAAACATAGACTCAGGCGCAATGGAGGTGATCCAAGCATGTCCCTGCTCTGCTTCCACTGCAACAGGGAACTAGTGAGGAGGACTAAACTGAACCAAGTCATTAAATCCCACCTACAAACTGTACAGAATGGGGTTTGTTTCTGACATGGTCCAAGTTAAGGCCATTAATATAGCTAGCAGTGCACTTTCTAAGGAACCAGCAGCCCATCTGGCTTGGAGTAAAAAACCCCATTTGTTATTTTCTTGCTCATCAATTGCAGTTGAAAGGAAATGTGAGGAAAAATCACTTAACATCTGCAACACGAAGCTACATTCAAATTATTTTGTTTCAAGAAGTAACTGCATACTTGATTTCTGTGGACACGTTTTATATTTATAGGTATCTAGGCAGATTTTACACACATCTACGTCTATAAAGGCACACACAGACACATCTCTCTCGTATTAAAAACCAGAGATATGTCTTTAAATCCTCTCTGAATACTGAGCCTGCAGCTACAATGAAACTCTTCTGTGAGGAGGGGTGAGACAGTCTCCAGATGAAAGTAGATTTTGAAAAATTTTTAGAGCCCAGGGGTTCATTTTTAATGAGCCGTTACTTTAAGTACTGCATAAAAAATACAAGAAATTGATAGTCCATTTAGCCTGCACTATACCTAATGCAAAAGTCATTAAGATGCATTATTCTTAACGTTTATGATGTGATCAGTAAGTGTACAAGTCTCTTTTTTTAAAAAGTCAAGCCTGTCCACGTATCTCATGTGATGCAGTTTTTAAACACTTAATACAGGAATGTTTTACTCTAACTTAATAGAAGAATATTGTCCTGTGAGCACTGCAGCTGATGTTAACACTTGGATACAAGCAATAATACACAAACAAAAACATGGATAATATCAGCATTTGTTATACTATACCTACATAGGACAGCATGGCTTTCATTTCTTCATCACTTCTAACAGTAATCCGGTCACCATCCTCATCTTCATCTAACAAAGAAATACATTACATTCGTGAGCAATGCAAGAAGGATATTTACAATTTCAATATGTAAGGGTTTCACCTTAAGTGCTCAAAACCTTGCTCTCAACAGTTATTTTAGTGCTAGAACCTCTTCAGAAGCAGAGGACCTTATGTACACTGCAATAACCCTTGCTGAAAACCATCAAGGTATCGTCTTGACACAGTAAACATGAAGTAAAGCTTCTGAGTGTGCTTCAGTGCTCCCAGAGGGAGTTATGTTTTGGCAGTTTTTCATCAGAAACTAAAATAAAACTAAAATAAAATTGTTTCTCTCCCCGTAAAAGCTTCTGATCTTATCGTCAACCCAACCTCAACTCACCTGCCCTGTGACAAGTTCCTCCCACTCCTCTGTCCCCATCTGTGTCACAAGTGCATGGACATCTTGGCTTCTTCATAGCACAGCAAAGCTGGCTTAAAAATGGTACCTTTTAAGTGGACACTAATCCACAAGTTTATACAGAGAAATTTCGATGAAGTTTGTGAATCAACAAAACCAGTCTGTGTTGAGTTCATTGGGCAGATGTGGGTGAAGTGGAGGCCAGAGTCAGGAGCAACATTACCAGACAATCGTGTTTTCATGATGAAGTCTCAGGCATGGCCACAAACACAGACAAGGCACTTTTGGAGGAAGCAAAGAAGCCCGCTTAAAACCAGAACACCAGAGGAAAGGCAGCAAGATCCAGAGAGGCTCCAGCAGAGCAAAGCATTCAGGGAAGAATTATCAATACGAAGATCTGAAGGAGGAGAAGACCTTCCAAAGACATATGGTGGCTTCAGCAGGTGCAGATTTACTGAGGGGAGCAATCCCCCCCCCCGTTAGCACCAGCTGGTGCAACAACACACGCCAATGTCACAGGCAGCAGTCCCTGAGACACTCGGTGAGGTTCCTTCAGCAATGTCTACTCATCCTCTCCTCCCTTCCTTGTGGGAAGCTCTCACTCTTCCACTCGCTGGAGACCTGCACCTCATCCAGATAAAGAAACAGACCCTTCTGCTCCAAATCAGCTGTGAAAGAGTAAGTTCTTTTTACTGCTCTAGCTTTGGGGTGAAGGCAAGCTAGTCAGAAAGCCATGAGATTGCAAAAGAAAAGCCCTTTGCCTGGACTAACATGCACTGGGAAATCAAGGAGCAACACACACATTATATTTCAAACCCCTGTTAAATACCAAAGGGTGAGAACACGGAGATGAGCAAGTGCATTTCCATAGCAGGTCTGCTCCTGGCTAGCTCAGGGTGTAAGCAGAGACTGGGGCAGTCTGTCTGTCCCCATCTCTACAGACATGCTCTAACTGATACACATGCTCTCTGCTATCACAGGCCTGCGTATTACATCAGCATAAAAACATGCCATTATATCCCTGGATGAAAACTCTTGCTCCTAGTTATGCAGCAGAATCAGGGAAGAGTTCCAACAAATTAAAATTACCCAAGAAAAGGCGTTTGTTCATTCTACCTCTGAAAACCTACCTGGTAATTTTGAGGCTATAATGAAAAAGAGAAAAACAATGCAGAACAGAGAGCAAACCAAGAGATAAATAAGAAGGAAAAAAGTAACATAAAAACCTCAGAATTACACTTTTTTAATGTCCTGAAAGAGAGCTATGGGACACTGGAAATGTGGAAGCTGGAAGAGGAACCAGACAGCACAGACACATCCTACAAGGGCCTCGTCTCACGGAAATTTAACTGGTGAACTGCCAGGCTGCTAGAAGTACTTGCTCGGGTTAGCAGCCTGCAGCAAGTCATGAATGATGAAAAGATTAAGAAGAGTTAGTGAGTTGAAACTGAATGTTTCCTTGCCTGGAAACGTTTTAGGCAGCAAGGAGGAAGAGCTGTAAAACTGCTACCTGGCCAGAACCCAAGTCCCAGCCGCAGTGTGTAACTGAGTAGGAAAGGCTGAAGAAGCAGCTGTTGGAATAGTGAACACAACAAATACCATGCATCATCCAGAAGGGATCAGACTGAAATGCAGAAGAGGGGAAATGTGGCACAGAGAAATGAATATATGGAGATAAAAGCCGATGAACAGGCCTGGCTTGAGGGAATAGAGCTGGAGCCCCCCAGAAAGGGAAAAGATAAAAGTGGAAAACCCTCAGAGCCACTTGCAAAACCTTTATAAAAATCACACATTATTCACTGCAAGGGATTAAGAAATTAACTCTCCAGTTCTCAGAATGGCAAGATCCCTGATGATGATACAAAGAGAATATATTAAAACTGTGCAGATGAAAAGGCACAAAATGTTACCTGGCATTCAAAAAGCCAAACCTGAAATTGTCAGACAATGTTTGTAAAGAACAAAACCAGAAGAAAACATATCTCTCATCCACGCAGAGATCCTTTGCTTTCATACCACGACATTTAACTGGGCACAGCCCAAAACCGAGCTAGATCTGACACATGGGTTCGGAAAGATTTCCAGGATTCTCTACTTGCCTAGAGCACAGCACTATGATTTTCCAGCACATTAGGGAAGCAAAAGTAGAACCAAAAAATCCTACGTATTGGCTGGATTTTGCTAATGTCACTTAAAATGGAGGAAGAAATCCTCACAAGATATCAAATAGAGTGCAGCAGATGGTAAACAAATATTATGAAGCAATCTTCACAAAATCTGCAGTGTGTCACAACTATACAAAATGGCAGAGTTTGGATAAAAGGATCATAACAGGCCATATGTTGTTAGTGATTTTATTTGTAGCGCTGTGTAATGCAATGGTGAAATCCACATCAAGGTCCAACAGAAGTGCAGCCCCAGGTAGGAGTTGCAAAGGCTGGTACACTGGAGATAACAATAACTAAATCCATAGCAGAGGAGCCTGCACTGGATGGCAATTATCCACATCTGAAGAAGCAATGAAGCAGGTGAGAATGAAGCTTAAGCTGGTGAAATCCAGGAATTTGATATGGAAAAAGTAACCAGGAAAATCACGCATCAATATACATAACATATTTTAGATGCCAGTTAAATGGCAGGGGAAATGGGTTTGTGCAGATGTAAATGACAGACTAGAGACATGAACTGAAAGCACAGAAGCAGATGTTAGAAGACACAACAAAATAAGTATTTCCAGGAAAGTTCTACACATGGTACCATTAATATGGGCTACTGCCCTGATTGCAGCGACTGCTGCTGGTGCATGAAGTTCAAACGAAGCTAATGGGGGATGTGGGAGGGATGGGAGAAAAATAAATATTAACAAATCATAACAAAACCTGGCAAGGTCTGGAGCCTGGGTTTGCTCAGGTCCCTGCTCAAAGTCTTGCTTTAAAAAGCAGTGCAGGAGAGATGTCAAGGCTACAGAGAACTAACACATCAGCTCCACTCTGAGGTGTCTGGAGTTTTAGGAGGGGAAAACACAAAACATATGAAAAGAAAGATAAAAAGCACTTGAAGGACCATAAAACCAGTATTTCCTTTGATTATCTACACACAGAATTACCCATAAAGCTCTAAAGAGGGGAGAAATGCTAATAAGAATGGAAGGCCCTATCTTGTCATATCTGCTCTCTCACCTTCAGCATCACTACCTTATTGATATAACACCTCTAATCCCCTCCAGCTCCTTCTTTCTATTTCATCTCTATCAAAGGAAAACACAGAGTTACATAGAAAAAAAGATAGAATAAGCATTAAAAGGGAATAGCAGCAGCCCTCTCCACTTGGAAGAGAACTCTAGCTCACTATCTTATGCCCCAAGAGACAGATGTTTGACTCCCTTTTGCAGCTTATTGCTATCCAGATAGGACAATCCCCCAAGAATCCCTCAGAAAAGAAAAGAAGACAGGGTTCAAAGAACAGAGCTAAAAAATGAGTACTAGCAGATACAGGTCTAAATCTGCATTAGCATACTCACCAAGAGGTCTTCTAACTCAGCAAAAACATGATACAACCCCCTTCCTGAGGTGAAAGTGCCATTATGGACAACCCCAACCTGCAGCTTCCTCTGATCATACACAGCAGCTGCTTTTCCCAGATTCCCAACCAGACCCATGTGGCCTTTTAGAGATTATTCCTACTGCCCAGTCTGACTTGGTGCCATCTCGCTGCAGCTCTCACACCTCCTCCAGGAGACAAAGCTGAGTAACTCCTAATCTCACACAGGAGACAAAGGTGAATAACTTTTTCTCACACAGGAGACAGAAGATGGTGCATTCATCTTAAGCCCAGCAGAAGGAGAAAAGGAAAACTAAACCCACAGCCTCTTTCCAGCAAAACACAGCCATTTGTTCCAGGGAAAGGAAACAGTCATTTCTAACAGTGCCATATTTGGTACAAATCTGTCTGTTGTACCCTATTTCTGGAAAAGCTGCTGCTCTTCTGGATTCTTCCAATGAAGGATTAAAATTTTAAAATCTCAAACCTACAGGTTCTTTATACTTTTCATTTAACTCGAGCAATAGAGCTGCAGTGAAAAGTACGAGCAGGGTAAGGTCGTGCTGGCGAGTAAAGCTATGGTGTAGAAATATGCTCATTCAAGATATGATTAAATAATAAAATATCGCTTAGTTCAGTATCAGCATTAAACTTGCATTAATGCATAAATATTTAACTGTAAGATATAATGAACATAAACATTATTTATTTAAAAATATGACAGCCCTATAATGCGACCAAGGAGACAGTTTATACAAGTCGTACTCACACTCAAACGCTGTTGTCGTTGCATCTGGCAGAACTTGACCGATGACATCCTAAAATGTAAAGAAGAATTAGCTATGTATCATGTGGGAAATCATAGAATGGCTTGGATTGGAAGGGAACTTGAAGCTCTTCCAGTTCCAGCCCCCTGTCACAGGCAGGGACACCTTCCACTAGAGCAGCTTGCTCCAAGCCCTGTCCAACCTGGCTTTGAACAGTACCAGGAATGGGGCAGTCACAGCTTCTCTGGGCACCCTGTGCCAGCCCCTCAGCACCCTCACAGGGAAGAACTCCTTCCTAATGTCTGATCTATGAGATGATTTAGAATAATCACCCCCAGCTGCAGGCTGAAGTCTTAACAGGCCTGCTACTCACCACTGCCCCAAAGTTACAAACTTTTTAGCACACAACACAGACCAGTATAAATCACAGTGCTCTCCTCCTTCCTCTCCATGCTACCTTGAGAAAGAACTGCTTTCTTTTCAAATAACTCAATCATCCTTGCAAACGAGTCAGTGTTGTCTGGTTTTACAGTTTAAAGAATCGATTTTGTCCGTAGGTTATAAAAAACGTACACCTAACTCATCCGAGTCAGTCATAAAAACACGTTTATGAGTGGCTTTTTATTTAAGAAAGCATGTTTTCTCTCTCAGTCCTGCTCACATCACCCCAATTCCTCCTCTCCATCTCCCAACTGCCCTGGTCCTCCCTCCCACTGCAAGATACCATCACAGAGCTCCATCTCCTGACCTGAGAGTAGGTCAACAAACAGCTCCGGGTGGGCTCAGGGCTGCCACTGTGAATTAAAACAGCAGCAGTGAGACCTCGTGAGGTTTTGTTGCTTTCACTCCACAATGGCCCTGGGAAGCGGTGGGACCAAGCAAAGGGGAAATGGACCTTGCAAAGCAGCGCCGTGCCTCTGCTACACACAAGCTAGAAAGTTGGGAGGGCAGAATTTAAACTTTTAATCTTAGTACGTGGATTCTAACACACTGATTAAAACACCCAAAGAAGTGAATGCACAAACCTTGAAGACAACCTCCAAACAACTCATACACAAGCCCATCACAAAATATACCAAACACTTTCAAGTGTTACACATCTCTGATCCAAACCAGCACTTTTCTGTACCACTAAACCAAGAGGAGAAGAGTCATTTGGGGTTTTTTTTAGCCTTTCCACACTGCATTTACTCAAAATTCAGTGAAAAAATCACTGCTCAGACTGAAGTCATCCCGAGCTCCCAGTGCATGTGCTGCTGTCAGCCTTTGCTAGGCTGCAATATGTCATGTCAGGGCACGGCATAAATGCACAGCATGGTTTGCTCCTTCCTGCTGCCTGATTTCCCATGTCAGACAATCTCTCCACTGACAGTGTCACCGAGTGATTAGAAATTAATGAACAACCATATTTATTGTGGTACATGCACTGTGAGCATCTCAGGGCGCTGAGCACCCCCCGCATCAGAGCTTTAGTGATCACTGTCCTGTCACTTTTGTTTTTGCTATTTTTGCTTTTAGTCTAAAACCAGGAAATTAAACATTCTGCGCAACGTTGAAGAGCCGCAATTAATAAAATGAGAAAGCAGCAAAAGCAACCTAAAGATTTCCACAGAGCTAAGTGAAGCATAGCTAAGTGAAGTATTTCTACAACTTTTTCACCCTTTCCTTTTAGATGTTAAATTACATGCTATTGATTCACTTTAAACTCTTAATGGCATACAAAAGAGAAAATATTTTCAATATAGCTACCTAATTATATAGACTGTGAATTTAAGGAGATTAAAAAAAAAGCAAAACACCCCCCAAACATTGCCATGTTAACAAAAATTCCTCTATTTAAATACTTCTCCAAGGCTTGACAGCTCTGTCAGTCCTCTGTCAAAAGCCAGCCAAGCTACACCCTCTGCTCCTCGCAGGAAATTTAAGTCTTGCCCAACTGTACTGTGAACTGATTCTTCCTAAATCCACTTAGTTAAACATTGAAAATTCCTCAGCAAACACACCTTAATCCTATTAGATTTAAGCCCCTTGTAAAATGTTCTTATGTTGGCACACAGATGCTTCCATTTAAAAATTGTTATCAGAAAAGGAGCCCAGTTAGGGCATTCAAACTGTATGTAAAAGGTGTGTAAGCACAGCACTGAGACAGGTCTGACAGTCCCAAATGCCTGCTAGGGAAACTCCAAGACTCCCAAAGCTGTGACAGCACTGGAAGAGATGGTAAAATCTTGTTCTGCCCCTATTCAGAACAAGTGTTTGTGTATACTTGGACTTCTTTAAAATGAGTACTAACCAAGTACGTGAATTTAAGAACCATGCACCATAACTCTGTCTTACAGTACATAAAGAGTTGAAAAGAAAACCCTACCAACAGCCAGAAAAAAAAAACTTGGTCTGGTCAGCTTTAAATACTTGTATTAAATCAACACATCTGAGGAAAACTATCCCTGCAGGAAGTGGGAGGGAGGGAAATCACACCCTTATTCTGTACTTACCGTAGCATTTTCATCAGCTACGTACGACTTCCCTGCTCAAACCTCCAGCAGAACCTCTCGGTGACCCAAGCTTAAAGGATTATGCTAAATTTCATTAGATTATGCACGTGATGATTTTCTACTATCACAACAGAGATCCCAAACAATGAAATACAACCTGCAGACATTGTTCAAGCAGGCTCACATACACGAGAGCTTCTATTTTATCTCACAAAACTGAAAAGCCTCTAATAAAGAGGGGAAAACTGAGGAAGCAGCTGAAATCTGGTCCCTGGAAGAGCCGTGGAGCACTTCTCTCTGGGGTGAGGAAGCAGAAAACACGGAAGCACTGCTTTAAATGACAGGGTAAATATTGACGCTGTGGCTCAACACTCCTGTTTCAGTTAAAACTTGTTTTATCTCAGTATGACATCATGAGGTTACCCTGAATTAACACCAAGTGCTTCAACACCCCACTGACAGCCAGAGCAAACAAATCCAGACAGCCTGATGAAAAAAAAATAAGCTTATTGTAATTCATTTAGTGATGCCTTAAAAATAAATCTAGTTACTAGTAACTCACAGCTCTGCAAAGCTGACATACACAGAGCATATTTAAAGTGACATTATGAAGAACAGCTCTTAGCACCCAGTTTAAGAGAGTAATCAAGAAAATGCCTAAGCTAAAGCATACAAGTAGAGCTGCTTCCACGGGTCAAGCACCATCCTACAGCGTTGAGGCCAAGCACCAGCAGCTACCAGCAGGTATCAGGCTTTCCAGCTGAATACCTGCTACACCATTTAGTATCTGTAAAGGCTCCTCCAAGAGACAGAATCAGAGCAGCTGAAAATTAAGAAATGTGTCATTTAGTGTGCAAAACACCCTGAGCATCAGACTCCTTACTCTAACATGGTACACTATGGGTACGGACAGGGTATTTGGGGATTCTATACCACAGCTTCTTGTCTGGAAAAGGAAGATGGAAATAGTCTTGCATGACAGCACGAAACACTGCAAAGATACACATGGCTCTTCACACTGCTGGGATTTAGTTAAATTAACTATAATCGTGATTAAAAAAAATATCTTGCTGGTATCAGATAATGTTATGGGGCTTTCTTAATACAAAGCAGACCATGGCACCTACCTCAGAAGGGTGATGCCAGATATATCCAGCTTCTCTGGGCACCCTGTGCCAGCACCTCGGCACCCTCACAGGGAAGAACTTCTGCCTAAGAGCTCATCTCAGTCTCCCCTCTGGCAGGTTAAAGCCATTCCCCCTTGTCATGTCCCTACAGGCCCTTGGCCAAAGCCCCTCTCCAGGTTTCTTGTAGCCCTTAAGGCACTGGGAGCTGCTCTAAGTTCCCCTTGGAGGCTTCTCTTCTCCAGGCTGAACTAGCCCAGCTCTCTCGGCCTGTCTCCAGAGCAGAGCTGCTCCAGCCTTCTCCAAGTGATGGCCTTGAGACAATTCAGACCTTATTAAACTTCTTTTTTCTCTAAAGATTTCACAGTGCACAAGAGAGAGTTTTTGACACAAAAATGGCAATCATCCAAGGATGCTACTGCACAGATCTGCTCCCAGATGAACACTGCCGTAACACCCTTCATCCCCACATCCGAGATGTTCACTGATGAAGAACAGTGAAGAGCACACATTGCCACTTCGCTGGTGCAGTTCACCATAGTGCTCTGCTAAATAAAGCAACTGTGTAAGGATAGGCTCCTCTCTTCGGCAGCTGTGCTTCGCTGGGGTAGAACTGCCTGCAGCACAGGCCCTGGACACCGACCACAATGACTCTTAGAAGCACTTCAGGTATCAAGGGTCCTGCCAGGATCTTCCCAGCATGCTGGAGACAATTACTCAAACTCCTCACAACAGGACTTCTCACTAGACCAGAGCTCAGTACTTTGCCCTGATACAACTAACAAATCAATGCAGGTGAAGCCTATTGGTTGGTGCTACTTCAACAGCAGTATCATTGCACTTCTGCTTGAGACCTCGCTCCAAAAGGCACACTGCCTTTTAGCATTATATCACAACTGAACACACAAGGCTTATTTTAACTTCAGGTCAAAAAGGCATCAGCTGCAACATGATGGAGTAGCTATAGGAGCTACAACAGAAGCTGCAGGTGCAATCTCACACGAAAGATATGGTCCAGCCACTGAGTTACAGCTGTGCTGCCTGAAGCCCTCTCTGGCCTTCAATACAGGTCCCCATTCCTCACTCCTGCACCCCCAGAGCTAGCACCACAGTAGGGTCAGAGGCTCAGAGCAAACTACAGACTCCGATTCCAACTGCTTCTGCAGTTTAAGGTTCAACAGCACTTCTTTTCAACATACTTGTTAAACAGACTACAGAGCTCTGGTTTGAGGCCCACATACCCCCAGCTATCTTTAAGCTGAAACAACAAGGATGACAACTAAATAGCAACATGGTTTTGCAAAGCCATGCTTTCAATCTGACAACACTTCCCTATTTACTTTTAAGTAATACAACCAAACTTAAGCGTCCAATACTTCTAAAATGCCACAGGATAGTCCAAGCATCAGGGATTATCTCACTTTATTGGGAGATAAATGGAAAACATGAAGCAGAATATGGAGTAAACCTGGCTGAGATTCACACCCCTTGTCTTTGAAGGGGAGCTCCAAGGGGAACTGCCCCAAAATCCCACTGATGTCACGAGTTCTCCTCCTCCATCTATAGAAAGTCTTGGATAATGCTAAACATTAGGAAGAACAAAACCTGAAACATCTGCCATCTGTTCCAGTTACCTCTGCTATCTCCCATAGGCCCAACATCAAACATTTTCCAGCAAATCAATCCGTTAGGGCACAAAGTCTTCAGCAGAGATGCGTTACACAGGGAAGATAAAGGCATCCTGAAGAAAGTTAAGTATGAGCTGCACACAAGGAGGAAAGTTTTCTGGGGGCTAAGGATAAAGTTAAAAAGAAACAGTAGTGTAGTAAGTATCCATTACCACTTCTGAGTAAACAGAGTATCCCCCTATACTAGCTGTGCACGTGGGGAGAAAACAAGGCAGGCAGGGGTTGAAGGCAGTCCAGGGCAAAGGAGATGCAACAAACCTAGAGCACCAAAAGCAAGAGCAGCTATAGCCCAGGTGCAGAGCACACAGACACCGTGCCAGGGAGGCACTAATTTCCAAAGGACCACTTTTTAAATCACTGTAAAAGCGCTGCTTTTGACCACCCTGTCACGCCAAGACCCCGAGATGCCGCACTCCTGGCATCCCCAGGCCCCTGGTTTCTTGCAGTCCCTTTCGCATTACAACTTTCAGGCGCAGGCAGGAGACAGCAAACACCCCGTCCCCGAATAAACCACCACCACCTTCCGCCCCCCAGGCAGGGAGTTTGTCTCCACTTTCCCCGCCGGCTCCTGGTCATCGTTCCCGGAGCCGCGGACCCCGCTCCCCCCGGGCTCTGGCTGGGACTCACCAGCACGTCCCTGAAGAGCAGCTGAGGCGCCGAGTGCACGGTCCAGTCGACGGCCCCGCCGTCAGGGATCTTGATGCGGATCACCAGCGCCTGGCTCTCCATGGCGCGGGAGGGACCGCAGAGCAGCCAGAGCATCCCCGCCCCGGCGGGCTCACATGCTACGGCTGGCCCGGGGCTGCCGAGCCGAGCGGGGCCGAGCGTGCCCCGCCCCGCCCGCCCGCAGGAAGGGGCCCCTGCCCCGGAACCAAAACGGAGGGACCCGGAGGAGGGAACCGCCAGGAGGAGGAAGGGGAAGGAAGAGGAAAGGGAGCCGGCGCCATGTTGAGGGGAGGAGGAAGCTCTCAGTCCGTGGCCCGCCCCGGGGGCGAGCGGGAATGGCCCTGGAAAGTGGCAGGCAGCGCTTTGGATTTCTTTTCCCCCTATTACACCTTCTACTTTTTGCAGGAAAACCGCTTTTGAGACAGAAAAATCACATGGAGTCAGGTTCGGACTTCACATAAATTGTGCGAAGTCCCCAGTGCCGCCGCTCCTCAGAACTCAAGAGGAGTGAACTGGGGCCTCTTGAGCGCTTCCTGAAGAACTCCGAGGGCTTGTGCGTTCAGGTTATTCAGCTGGCACACAAAAACACGTACCCAAACATAAACCTGTGCCACGCCCACCTTGTACAGTCTATCCTCGGTGCAAGGTCCCTGTGCTGGCACTTGCTGTCAGACTGCAAAGCAAACGAGTAACTGGGCAGTGGGAACAGCATCACACCACGCTCTGCTCACTACTGTAATATCCAAACATCCCTATTAACGCGCTTTAAGCAGTTTTGCCAATAGCTGTCACATACTTTCCTCTTTTTCCAAATTACACAATCCTTGTCTTAAGTATCTGCTATACCAACATCCATCTTAAAGCACAGCTCTGATGAAAGAAAATCCCTGTTAAAAGCTACGTCCAGCACCCTCTGCAGCAGCAAAGAACGGTTCGAATGTGACAGCTCTGTAATCTCCACACTGTGATCACAAGCCATGACAGACTGTTCAGCTTTTTAAGAAAGCTTTTTGCCTGTCAGAAGTTAGAGGGAAGGATCTCTGATCCGTAAGCACAAAACCTCCCAGTTCTTTGTAGCAGAAGAGCATTCATCTCAATTGCAGGTGATCAATGCATACGTTTTACCACAATCTCTCGCATCATATATGACAAACTGGACTACTTGAGTTACATTATCGGGGGGGGGGAGAAATAGGGGAGGTGTATTTGATTTAATCCCTGAAACATCTTCGAGCTTTCTTAAAAAATTCTATTTTGTTTGAGCTTTAGGAAGAAAAAAAATCTTTCAATGGCCATTAGCAGGGATAAATCCTCTCTCTGTTCACTAACTTTATAATTTAGTTCCTACATTAGAAATTAATAGAACCTCAACTCCTAAGTATCTGAGGGATTGGTGCTGCCCACACAGCCATCTTTCTGTTCAAATGAACCCTTTACCTGCAGTCCCTGTGTACCTCTCAGTCATGTTCATTTCAATCAGATTCATTTTCTATTAAATTTTCAAGAATAGGGTACAAAATCATAGGAGTTCTATAGAACTGCAATTTTTCTAAAATGTCTTTTTCATTTACAAGACTATGGGGAAAACCAACTCAATTTGATACATTTGCATAAATATTATGTAGATTTTCCAGGGCTAATCATAACCTTAATCCCCCATTCTGATTCGTGTTGATGCAGCTGTAATCAAACTTCAAGGTTTTCTACATCTTAAGAAGTACAGCACATCAAGCACATGTTTCTTGGTACAGGTTTGGGTTTGCCACTTATTTGAAGCCCGTGTTTCATAGGAAACTTTAATTCTAACTACACTACCATTTCAAACAAATAGTTAATAGTTATTTCTGCATCCTGCAGCATTTCTGCTATGAGAACAAAACTTCACCAAAATTTCTCATATTTTATCTCAGTGTTGGAGAGAAAATCTGTGTGGCAAGAACATGGGTATTTTTTAATAGTATCATAAAATACTGTTAAAGTTCAATATTTGACTGCTCCAAGAATCTCATCATTGAAGGTTTCCAACACAGGAAATACAAGAATTCCAGAAAGCCACAGGAAAAAACAATGAAGCAGTGTGATTTTCCCCAGTAACCCCAGATGACACGCTGCCAGCAAGAAATACGCATGCATTTCCTATTTATAATTACGTATCCAAAGTTATTGTCTATCCACAATGCAATAACATTCAAAATCTGCAAAGGAACAATATATCTGTTCTTTAATTACAGGAGGATCATGAAGCCCATGACTTCTATAAATTCTGGTTTTATTTGCATGGGGGAAATAGCCTCCATCAGTGTCACAGACCTCCAGGCTGGCTTTATGCTACAAGCACAAGAACGTCTGTCTCACTGCAGTCTGCTGCTGCTCTCTACTGCTTCCCACTGTGGCTAGAGAGGACAGAGGAGGTGTATTTTCTTTCTGGCCACAGAAAGAAATGTTTGTTTTCAAGGAAAAGCAGAATGCTGATGCAGAAGAAGACTAAAATTATTAGATTTGCCATGCTGCGGAATCCCGTGGGAGTATCGGTGAGAGGGATGGAAAAAGTGCTGTTCCCACTGACTGTGTGGAACGGGATTATCATGTTAATTTGCAAGGCTCTCAAAAAGTAGGGAAATAAGTTATTACTTGTTTCCCTCTCTAATTCCCACTGCAAAACCAGTTCTCTAACACAAGTCATTTTCTATCTTTTCACTGCCACAGATACCATGTAATGAAGTTTTAAGTCCCTCTACCAGAACTCTGTAAAAAAGAGAGAGGAAAGAATCAGCTGACTCCCCAGCCCTGTTCTTGAATATTCCCATTTCAGGACCTGTATCTAGGAGGTTTTCCTTGCCATTGGTGGAGGGGTGCACGTGCTCAACCTCAGGATCATGCTGATGCAGGTGAAAAATGCAATTTTAATTTCATTACTGGTAGAATTTGCCCAGCTATGACATAGGATTGGTAGACATTTACTGTGTAACAGACTGAACAGCATTTGTTAACTACCTGTGCCAAATGTTATTCAACATTTCAACTATTAAAATGCTTTGGAATAGTGTATTACCAGCAACGTACTCTCTGACATGTAATTCAGATACAGTATTTAAACCAGACTTAGAGGAATCAGAACCTAAATGCCGGTCCTTGGTTCACCAAGTTCAGTTTATCATCTCTGCTTCCTCCCTGTACTAGTTTCTAGATAACTATTATAAATAACAAAGGAAAAGCTCTTCATTTCCTAGAGAAAATGGCATCTGATCATTGCTTTAGCAGCATAAATTCTCATGTCTTCTTTTTTTTTTTAAAGAAGGGACTAATACATCACTTTCTATGTTGATAAAATAACATATCAGGGTGAAATTCACCTTTATTACCTTCCCATATCTTCCGATAACCTGCGAGTGCAGCAAACTGAATTCCCTTAGGCTTATGAAAGAAGTAGGTCAGCAGTGCCCAGGCTTTCTAAGCAAATTCTCCTCTAAAATGCATCTCCTTGGAAAGAATCACCCATTGTACCAGCTTCACTAATACCTATATAGATCAAGATCCCTCCAAACCTGCAGTGAACCTTGCAGAACTAGCTGTCTTCTTTCCGTGTGTCTCCCTACTACCCTGTGCAGTCACTGTGCATGGGCTTAGACCAAATCCCAAGAAATAAAATGATCTTACTTTCAGTTTGGTGGGAGCAGAATCTGGCCTGAAGTAGATCTTTTAAAACTCTTTCTCATAGTAAACTCATCTTGAACTGAAAAAAGAACCCAAACAACAGTACACTTGATTAAGGCTGAATTATTAATTGTTTAGTTCTTGCTTTAAATCATGACCAGATTTTGAAATAAACAGATTAGAAGCATGGTTTATGTATATTTGAAAAGCTAAATGTGATACACTGTTACTGGAAAATTACAACACAAACTATACCAGTTGGATTGAGCAAAAATGCCTGGGTCTCATTAATGCTGTTACTGTACCCCATCAGACCAGCTTCAGGGGCTGCATAATTGTTTTTCTGTCAACCTATAAATTCTTGAGTAACAACAAAATTATTGTGATTTTTCTTACTAAATAATTCATATATCATAAAGCATGTACATAACCAGGCCCATGAATCACTAAGCACGTAGCAATTTTATCTCATGGCATTTCTTCTTGCAAGAATAAGAACAGTTTTGACTTTGTAATACATTATCTCATTCAGAAATTTCAAGCGTTCTTTAAAAGTTGTCTGCCTTGAAATTTACATTTTGGACTTTAAAGTTTTTTTGATCAGAATTTTTTTGTCTGAAGGATTGCTTTTAATCATGTTTTACAGTTTTAATTCTATTAGGATTATTAATAGCACTGAAAGTAATAAATTGGTTTTATAATGAACTAGAACAGGGCTCATAAACTGTGCTTAAAGTGATGCAATTGCTATTAAAAATCACACTAAGCCATGTGTATTCTACCTTCCCAAGCAAACAGCAACCATAATGCATCCAAGCTGGCTAAAGTATAACACGGTATTCCATCATTTCAAACCTTAGTGGCTTCCTCTGTATTTTTTTTTTAAAGGCTGAATTGATCCATATTTGAGTTTTCTGTTAAGACAACACAAAAAATGTTAACAATCTGGATCATTTATAACTTGACAAAATCATCTCTTAAAGGCTGCTGCAGAGAGCTCTCATGCTACATGGACATCATTACTTTCTACAAAAACATTGCAGTGCGTTTACTAGCACATTATGATGGATTAGCATAAGTAATTAAGGTTAAACTACACTCATCTATGAGTAATAAATATTTGGTGATACATTAGCCCTCTTTACTTCAGCTGTATTTATTCACATACTAATTCAGAGAGGTCAGTAATTGACATCAGGTATCCAATCATTAATGCAAATTTTGATGTTCTACTGCACACATGCTTTATTTAAAAGACTTAAATGCAATCACAGTTATAACATCTTAAGTCTTTCCAGAAATAAAAAAAATCCTTTAAATAAACTTTGAGTATTTTAGTCACTGTTTTTAGTTTACATTCCCATTCATTCTTATTCTATATTCCCCTTGCTGCAATTCCCCAAAGCTGCCACTTTTTCTTAGGTGTATTTAAACCATACAGCCCCAGAAAGTATAGTATGACATCTACTTCCATAATACCTATATTTTGGGATTAAATCATGACAACTCTCAGAATTAATAACTTACTTTTCTGCACTGAACATGATTAAGGAGTTACAGCAAAAGCTAATTTAAATTAAATGGCCAGAGTAAATAATCATGAAGCAAAATCTCCTTTGTTTCAGGCAAAGTTGGTCTAAACCAAAGGCCTAAGGGCATACAACTATTAAGAAATACTTAAATTCCATTCAATAATAATGTGCATCAGGGAGGCCTATAATGACAGTTTGCAGAGAGATTTAGACATCAAGGATCTTTTTACTGCTATTAGATTATTCAAGGGGACTATTTAGTCAACTCACAGTTTTCTACTTAGTTTTTCTTGCCTATAGAATGATTCCAATCTATTCTGTTTCATCAGAAAATTTAAATTTGTCCATAACAAAGGGCAGGGACAATTTTGAAGGCTGGAAGAGTGAACTCTGGGTTCCTGTTCCACTCTTGCAGAAAGCATTACTACTGGAAGGAGTATCCATAGGTTTCAGAGTACTTACAGCCGAAAAGTACCAGGCTGCAGCAAGGAGCTTCTTAAAACCTGACCTTTTTTTGCTCATTCTCAGCCCCACTCTAGGTATCCTTTCTACCAAATCCATCCAGGAAAGAAAAACTGAATAGCCTTTCTCTCTGTTGACGAGTAATTAACCCCCCTTCCTACTCTACCAAGTTGGAACTGCTTTGCATTAAGTAGGCGATACCAGCCCCATAACAGCTCAAAAAGGACTGAGTTCTCTCAGATGATTGACTCAGATTAAGGCTGAGGTTATGGATATCATTACTGTTTCACATAATTTCAGATTCGTATGTTCACTGAGCACACGGGAGCATGGCAAGCATAAACACAGGCACCGGGTAGCTCCAACTTGCATACCAGCACAGGTACTTCACACTGTCAGGTAGTTCTGTTGTTGCTGTGCTTCACAGGAGTCTGAGAAACTGAGATCTGCTCATGCCTGCCAACTTCTGTAGGCAGAGTAAGCACAAATAGGTAAAACCAGAGTAAGCACTAATATGCAAAAACAAAGATCAAAGAAAAAAAACAAAAAGGTTCTACCTAATGCTGCTACACACTCAGAATTACAGTAGGTCAACACACGAAGCTGAGGAAGGATGAGACTTCAATCAAGGAAAGGTCAGTTGGTTCCAGGTTTCTTGGAAAACTGGAGAAAAGCACTGGATATCGCTCCAGGGAAGATCAAGAAGGAGAAGTCACAGCAACTTATTTCTGAGATAATGTGAGAGTACTAATCTTAAACAATTGGGAAGATCAATCCTTACTAGTCTCTAAATATAACTTTCATTTAAATTGGAAAAAAGTTAAGAACTTCATGTTGAAACTGTGCCCACCTGAATGTTAGCAAGCAGTATATTTTCTAGTGACAAAAGGAGTGCTATTATATATTAAAAACTGATATTTAAAAACAGTGAGCTGCTGGAACATGTTTGCATTACTTCAGTAAAACAAACATAGAAACACCCACATTATCACAATTTGGGAGAATACCAGAAAACAGTATTTCTTGGGTACTGTCGTAAGTGCTACACAGTCTCTAGCGAAACATTTACCACACATACAAAAAGGTATAAAAGTGATATATAGTAATTAAGACCTGGGCTTTATCGATTGTGTGGCTTAAGTAATTTTTCACCACAAACGTAAGATTTAATAAGTAGTTAAAGATCCTGACTTGGCTGCAGTCATTAGCATGTAATTGAACTGGTAAAAAAGATCAGTTAAACCTATGTTGATTACCACCTTATCTTTGAAAGGCAATTAAGGACCTCAATCATTGCAACAAGATTTGATTGTGCAGCCTCTATTGGACATTGATCTTTCAGCAAAGCGCAGTTACATTTTCCATTAATTTACAGTAACACAGTTTAACTGGGATACCTGAGACCACTGACCTGGGTAAGATGTAATGCTAAGCACTCGTTTAGGTTAAGATGCCCTCAGTAGTCATTATTGTTTAAAAAGACTGCTACAAGAAGTGGCTACCTCATCCTCTGGGCTTAGGCTAAGGTTTCATTAATCTGAAGTAGTTGTTAAGTGAGGTGAAACAAAGCTCCCTGCCTTTTTATGTCATCTCTCGTTTAAACATCATTCTTGAATACAGTGAAGAGATAATTAAGACAAGACTTACAAGATAAACTGCACTTCATTTCACATGGAAGGGGTGCAGAGCAAATCTGCAAGAAGTTAGAAGGGTCATTTTATGCTTCATCTATAGAAAAATAGGTGTCAACATTAGTGTGTTTCATACACAACACATGCATAGTATAATACATACTAAAAGGAGGGTGCTAGTTAGAACAATTAACAGAGGAATTAACAAAGCCTGGTTCCCTACAAGTCTGCCTTTTGAAGCAATGGGGTTCCAACACAACCCCAAAGGCCATTACAGGCAAGAGTCAGGTGCTGTGCATGTGCAATTAAGGCACCTCTGAAAAACCACACTGCCAGCAGCTCAGCTTTAAAGCCCACTTCAGGGCCACTCTTCAGTTCCTTTGGACTGCTTCACAACAGAAGACCCAGCTCTCCTCATATCCAGTGTCCCTTCAGGGCCTGGCTGCCACAAGACAGGAGTTCATGGGGATTAGAGAGGTAAAGATGAAAGGTTCAGCTCAGAACAACAGACAGGGTGCTCATCCTTGCTTGCCCTTCCCATGTTCCCTTGAGGCTTACAGAAATATTTGAGACAAGACAGCACTGATCTCCTTGAATCTTTTTGGCCCTCAACATTTCCATCTTGTGTTCAGGCCAAAACTTAAGATAGACGATTAAAAGAAATACTTACTAAGTATTTATAGCAAAAAGAGACTTACGGCCAGATGAAGTATTTTACCTTTGGTTGAAGACAAGCAAGTAGATTTACATTCATACTTGAAAATTATTTTTGTCATGATTTAGTAACTCAAGCATTAGCCCTTATAAATAGCATATTTTCCCTCTTAAGGTCTGTAACAGGTCACATACAAGCCTTAATGAAATGAAGGAATGATACTATATTTGCGCTCTGCCCTCAGACATTTTCTAGTTCATCCTTTAGCATGATCAACTTCATAAGAGCAAGAGGTCTATTGATTTTCATGTAATACAAGAAAATATTACATTTGCTTAATTGTTACACAGTGAGATCATTGAACAAGAAATCAAGTCTCTATTTAATGCTGCAAGCAGCACAGAATTGCAGGGATCAATAGGGTAGTTTGTCAGAGATGTTCTCTAAGGAGACTTGCCCATCACTGTATGGACAAGGAGTCATGTTGCCTGCATTTATCGAAAAATAGGTAAGCAAAGTCAGCAGTACACATTATCAGAAATCAAACAAGCTGCAGTGAGTGGAGGTGCAACTCCAATGAAGAGTGGTATTTATAGTCTAGTAATTAAAAACCATTTTATCAACCCTGCATAGAGACTAAACCTTTACAGCGAAGTATTGACCAGGTCCGTGGCAATGAATGATAATATCTGACTGTAACTTATGAGCTGCAGTTATTTAACTTCATCCAATACAGAGAAAATCAGTTCTAGAAAGATACTAACACTAATTTTTATTATTAACAAGGCTTCTTGTGATACCATCTCTTCAGCTTTAAGACCCATTTACCTCATGTCAAGAGTATGCTCCAGAATGAAACAGAAGAGTGCCAGCACTTCTATGATTAAAATGTTATTTAGTGTTGCTTTAGAAAAACCACATGTATTGCTTCATTAAGTGGCAAACAATTCCATTATCTAGAATTAAGTAAAAAAGTGTTTAAATGAAATTATACTGTAGCTGTAGCTTGATGATAATTTATTTAGGAATGTGGATTCCTCTCCACCCCCAGTACCCACCCATTTTACATTTATCTTCCTACTTATGACAACTGAATAATCAACTTATGTCACCAGATGTGGGAGTTGGAACAGACAGCAGTTTTCACTGGCACTAAAGCTAGACATAATCCTGTAATACACCCTGTACAGGTGTTTCCATTGTTTGAACTTACTATCCAATAATTCCATATTTCCACCATCCAAACAGTTCCCTAAAAGCTTTTTCTTTGGTTCCATCTGAATGTAAGTCATCCCGTTATCATATGTGCATGTTACAGCTGTGCTCAGTTACAGCTGGAGAAATCAGCTATTCTGCACTGAAAAAACAAGGGCAGAACTCTTCTGATTCTCCTTTATTAATGAAAAATAGCACTTTGTAAATTACCACAGAGGTCAATCTTCTAGATTACTTAGGGTCTGTTCCTTACCTATAAAGAAGTAACAATAAATATATATAAAGCATATACATATAAAATAAACATATATATAAAGTATATAAAGCAACAACAGAAAAAGCAGATATCTGGAGTTCAAGAATTGCAAAAGATACAAACATAAACCATATTTTAGATATTTTATTTAAATATTACTTGAAGAAGTATGATACAGCCATTTGTAACTTCTTTGGGTGGTAATTTTCCAGAGTCTTCCAGGCAACTGTGACTAGTAAGTGCAATGGTTTCATCCAGACACTTGCAGCTATGACAATTAATGCATCATGAAACATCCAGTCAAGAGTCTAAACCTGAGCAGCTTCATCTTTTCAGAGTAATTCTGAAAAGGCCTAATGTATTCACAGTTTCCTTCCCACATGCTACATTTCAGTTCTCTAAGTTGGTAGGTGTATTGCTTTAAATTAGCACAATTTGTTCAGCAGCACTAGTCATTGACTTCCATAAATTCTAACACCCTTAGAAATATTAATTCTTCTACCAAGGCTTCTACTTTTTCAGCTTTACTAACCTCTGCAAAAATAAATCTCTTCTGACCAAGAAGTCCATGCAGCTTCCTGAAGGCAGGATGTTAAGTCAAGAAATCCACTGTAAAAAAAACAAACAGTTGCCTTCAGTTGTCTTTAGTCAAAGGGAACAGATATTTGTAGCAGCTCTAACACAGAAACCCACCAGAGGACAGGTACTTGAAGGTGTGATTTCAGTACATTGCGCCTTCATCTTCTTTATTTAGAAAATAAATAGTAACTGGGCCATGACTTGTATGAACAGTCTCTGTGACACTGACAAAGAGCCAGGAGCCAATTCCATACAGTAAAGTCGGGATGCCTAAGAAAAGACAAAAACACATTACATACAGAGAAGCCAGGAAAATTAAACCCACCAATTAATAGGGTTGATGATTCCAAAATGAAATTAGAAAGTATTCCTCCAAAAGCTGCCTTATCCACATTTTGCTTTTACTGAAATGTTTACAAGCAGCTAGCAGTACATAATACTCTTTAAGCGTAAAAGAATCAGGAAGTAGCTTAAGAAAAGCAGCAATTCACAGAAATTAATAGAAAAAGAAAGTGGGAGGACAGCAGCATGACATAAGCGGAACATGGTCATGTATATAGCCTGATTTCTACTGATTACAAAAAATATATATGGAAATACTAAAACCCAAACTCTCTGGACAGCCACTCAGTTAACCAGTTCAGGCTTTCTCATGTGTGAAAGCAGAGATACGAAGGAAAATAGGCAGCAACTTCACATGATCAACATGAAGCTGCTCTTGGGAAAATCAATTCAGTAGTTAACACTACCAACAAAACTGGAATGAGTAGGAAGGCCTATATATAAAAAGTACCATTTTTTTAGCACTGTCAAGTCACCCATCTGTTACAGACAACAATATTTTACTTAATATAGGGGGAAAAAACACAGATGGATTTAGGCCCCGAATTCAGAAAGCACAGAAACACTGAATTTAATGTGCTTAAAGTTACTCAAGTGCTCAAGCTAGATTCTCAGGTGAAAGAGGTGACTTTTCACATGTTCACCAATCATTTAACTACGAAACACTCAGGGTAACTGTAGGAAAGATGGGGCAGATAAAACGTCTGTGTGGAAGGGAAAATAAAATCAGATTTAAAGCTGTTATTAATAAAACAATCTTTGTGGTCTTCTCACTAAGTCTGTAAAGATCAGAAAATTATGATTAGTGGGCATATTTTAGAAAAAAGCCACTAAAAACTTTTAAAGTGAATGAAAATTTATTTTTTAATGAAATATTAAAACTCATAGAATTAATTATGCCACTGTCGCTGCTAGCATTTAAGTACGCAGTGTATGCACAGGTAAAGTGTTGAATACTATCTATAGCTATTTTTATATTAATAATGTACTAAGAGTACATTTTTATTTATAAGCCTTTATATTGCTCAGCACTTCAGGGGTCCAGGCCCACATGAAAGCTGGATGTCAGGTGCAAAGATTCGCTCAGGCACTCTCTCAGAAACACAGTTTCCCTTCAGCTGGCGCTCGTGTATTTGCTTAGAGGCGAGGATCTCATCCACGGTAAGAGAACATAGATTTGTATCTGGGTAATTATCCATCCCCGATGATGTCAGACGCCTCAATAACAGGACAGCGAAACGCGAACTCGGTAAAACCCCCGAGGAGTGTTGATTTACACCGTTTCCTCACGCCGCCCGGTGCGACCGCGGGGCCGGAGGTCGAGGCAGTCGCGGGGGGATCCCTCACCTCAGGGGAACGGAGCCGCCCCGCAGGGCCCCGGCCCTCCCCAGCGAGCGCCGCTTTACCTCACCCCTTCCCGCCCCGCGCCTCAGGCGCCTCGCCCCTGCGCCCGCCTCAGCCGGCGGGGGAAGCTGAGGGGAGGCCGCCGGTCGCGGCCGGGCCGCTCCGCGCCTTACCGGCATTGAGGACCTTGAGGGCGGTGAAGGCGGCATTGTGCATGGCCAGGTCCTGCGGGGCGGCGCGGGAGCAGTGGTACTTGATGAAGGGGAAGCAGCCGGTGCGCAGAATGTGGTAGTTGGCGCCGTTCACCCGCCAGTTGAAGTTGGAGAGGCCGAACTGGTCGTTGCGGACGGCGCTGTACTTGACACAGTACGAGGTCCAGTGGGGCAGGCCGCGCTGCCGCAGGTGCTGGCTCAGCACCTCCGAGGCGGCGGGACGAGGCGCTGCCGCCCCCCGCCACAGCAGCAGCCCCACGACCGCTTCGTGCAGCCGCCTCAGCGCCAGCATCCCGCGGGGCTGGAGCCTCCCCCCCCGCCATTAACCACAGCAGCACCCACGGCCACGGCCCGCGCGCGTGCGCCACCTCAGCGCCTGCGCCCGGCTCGCCGGAGGGCGGGAAGGGGCAGCGGCGGCGGGGCTGGTGTGAGGGGAGGGCGGGCCCTGCGCTGAGGTGAGGCACGCGCTGCCTCAGGCGGGCCCTGCGCTGAGGTGAGGCACGCGCTGCCTCAGGCGGGCCCGGCAGCCCCGCGAAGCTGAACGGAGCCTCCCGGTGCGTCCTGCCCCGCACAGCCCGAGGGGAGCATCAGCAGCGGGAAGGGTACGTGAGGTCTCGTTACAGCGAGTTAAAATATCCCCTGATTCCGGCAGTTATAGCATTAGAAATGGTTTTGTCTGCGGGTCGTTTGCCGCTGGCACATCCGCGGGGCCACAGCGTCCACCAGGTTAACATACGCTGCATAAAAGCCACGCTAAACTGCATTAATTTTACTTGGTGGAATTTGCCAGGTTAAAAATGGTTCTTTGCAAGCGTTAGACTCTTTCGAAGCAAAATATTTTAAGGTTATACCCAGTATTCCTTCCTGTGAGGGTGCTGAGGCGCTGGCACAGGGTGCCCAGAGAAGCTGTGGCTGCCCCATCCCTGGCAGTGCTCAAGGCCAGGTTACACAGGAGCTTGGAGCAAGCTGCTCCAGTGGAAGGTGTCCCTGCCCGTGGCAGGGGTTGGAGCTGGAGGAGCTTTAAGGTCCTTTGAACCCAAACCATGCTATGTTTTCTCTAAATAAAAAGCAGGTTTCTGAACCATTAAACATTACATTTGAGGGAAAAAGTACAAAATTCTGCACAGAAAAACAGAGAAATGGGAACAGATTTTTTCCTTTTAATAATTGTGAGCAGTATCTCAAACTCAGCAATCTTAAACCATTGAGCTATGTAGTATGAATGTGCTAATCAATCAGTTACTACTCCACAATGTCCCGTGTTTATGTACTGCAGTGTACTACATGTGTATGGAACCAGTAATTATTAATCACTGCCAGTAACAAATTTGACTCAAATTCCCCTTCCTATAATTAATAGAGCATATAGTTAACTTTAATATCTTTCTTTATTAGTGGCAACAATAACTGAGGATAGAAAACTTGGAATTGGATACTGAGACCGTCTGTGGTGAAGTGCTGAGGTAACATACTTTAGAAGTAATATTCTGCTGTTTATTTCATGGTCAAAATTACCTCTTACAAACATATTGCTATAAAGTGGATATATGATAATTATTTTTATTCTTAACTTATTTATTTCAAGATACTTTGCTGTTAACTTTGTGTTGCCTGTGGCAGCATAACCTCACACCTCTACTTCAAGCAAATGGAATGAAGTAGCATCTGTATTTACAACTGCAGAGCAAAACATTGCATACTTTTTAAAGTATGCAAGAATCATGACCAAACATCCTAAAGATGAGGTTGGAAGCATTACAAAGCATTCTTCCAAATGTCTTCTTTTAATAATGTTTGCGCAGTTCAGGCCTCTGTGTTCATTGCGTTCTGGTAGAGTTTGATCATTTTTACATCAAAATAGTCTCCTGAAATGCATATTCTTGTGATGTAACTAAAAACCAGTCTAGCTGTTCTTCAGTTGAGATGATATATTAAATTACATTCATAAAGGTTGTTGATGATTGTAGTTCCTTATCTTTAGTATCTGGTTGCTGTAACAAAATCTGTAGTCTAAACTGAAATGGAGAGGATCAGTGTATAGTCAGGGGGAGTACCTCTTAGGTGATTTGTTAAATGGGGATTGATGTTTTATTGTGACATTTTGCAGTGATGTTAGGTAATTACTGTGAAATGCTGAGTGCCAGGTTAGTCTTAAAATTCCAGAGATTTATTACCTTAACCTAGATGGAAGGTGGTAAAATTCTCCTGATCCATCCCTCTGAATGAGGTACTGGAGATCTTTCAGGAAATGGGTAGGGTGAGTATTTCAGAAGACCTCCGGAAGTGGTTGTGCTGATGAACTATTTTGCTCTGTGCTCATTCTGAATATGGAAACTTGGGCTTAATGCCCACTCCCCTTTTTATTCTTGGGCAATTTCTGATGCGCAGCCATACCTGGGCCATATTTTCTCTCCATTTCACACTTGCTCTGTTTTCTTCCCAGTCTAGATCATGCCCTGAAATTCAAACTGCAGCTCAAGGACCCTATTACTCCTTTAGTGAGCGGGAATAAATAATCCAGTTGTGTGAGCAAGAAATCATGACTATATCTAACTTTTTTTTTTTAAAGATTGTAATTTCATTTTATATCTGCTGTATTGCTAAAAAAAAATACAATTTTGGCACCACCAGCATGACACTTGAATGTGAGAGACTGTAAAGCAGTTGCAATCCTTCCATGAGCTCAACACTCAGAAGTGTTAATAGTAATTAAAAACTTTTTTTCCCCCTCAAAATACATTTCACACTTTGCACGTACTGAGAAATCTCTCTCACCACAGGAACTTTCAGGTCACTTGTTTCCTGCAAAAACAGGTAGTTTTCTTTTGTCAGAATAGAACAAAACATAAGGAAGTGCAGGTTTCGTTTACTCCTAGGACACTACAGTCTATTAAGTGCCAGTAAACTAATGAGCCTCTCAGACCTTATGTTGTTCTGGCTTAGATCAAGGCTTAATTTTCCTTAACCCTTACAAAACTAGCTGCCTCCTAGGCTGGTACTCCTGAGCTCTCCCGTGCTTCCTTGTCCCCTAGGATGTTGCTTCTGCTAAGCAAACCGGGGAGTTCCATAGCTTGGGCGTGAGACTGGGTGAGGAATCTATCTACAAAGAGCTGCTTAGCAGTAAAACAGGAGAGACTGCTTTATAAATGCTTCAACATACTTTTCTGCAGCCCCTCAAAGTAGAACAGAGAATAAATATATCTTATCTTTTAGAAGATCTAATAAGCATATATACTATCCTTTTTAGTGCATTATTTCTTGTCAAGCAAGAGATTATTACCTATACCACAGCCCAAAATAACCTGTTACTTTCATTTCTAACCATAAAGAATAGACACTTCCAGGAAGTTCATTCACTGTTTAAATCTCCTGTTAGAAAAATCTGTGGGTGCTGGAATACCTAAACCCAAGACTGTATTGAGATTACATGTAAGAAAGGAACAAAATCAAGAATTAAACAAAAATACTTTTGGAGTTTTATCTGGAACAGGGATCAGCATTTATGCAAGCATTCTCATCTGCAATAATTACTTCTGCGATCAAAGCAGAAGAGCATTAACACGAAAGATTATTTATGAAGGTAACAGATCAAAGACCTCGGCACTGACAAACCTGGGTGCTGATCTGCTTGGTCACATTCATTGTTTGTCTTAAAAACTGGTTTTGCCTGAGCTTTTTGGGAAGTAATCTCAAAGATAGCTGACGTGCTTGGACAGCAGTATCCATCCAGTGGATAAAATGTACTCTCCATAGTAAAATTAACAGTGTTGTCTGTTGGGATATGAGAGATGTGGTGGATGATTTTACAAATGTACCTGTAGTCCTTTAACATAACAGTGCACAGAAATGATGACAAAAAAAACTCACCAGCGTCTGAAATACAGGATCTACCTGATGGACAGATGGATCTGTAAAGTCATGGTACATTGGGATTCGTAGTACAAGTATGGTCCCTGTCATTTTTTATCAGCTCTGTTCCCAGGCCGAGAGTCAAAACACAGTGCTGCACCAGCTACTGAGGAGAAAAAATGACTGCTACTGCTAAACCCAGGACAGTCCCTTCACACTCCACTGTTTAACTAGTGCTATTACTAGTATTTCTGATAATTTGAAAAATGAACATGAAAAAATGCTTCAAGAATCTGTAGATAACAAAAGAAATAGTGGACAGAGAATATGAACAATCAGTTCTAAAGAGGAATCTTGGTTATAAGGCTTACTGCTACGATGGCATTTAAGTGTATGTATAGGCAGAACAACACTGGACCTATTTTCATGTTAGAAGTCTGTGTTTTAGAATAAAGTAGGCTTGAAAGAGAATTTAGGGTTACAGGACTCTTCAGTGGAGCATGATCTCTTTGTATGATTTGGTGACAAAGACAGCATGACCCCTATTAATAAGATTTCAAATTCAGATACTGTACTTCAGTAATGACAGTATGAACAGAGGTGTTTATCATGATCCTCTGCTTTTCAGCAGTTTATTTTTGTGAAAGCAGGGATATTCTTCTAAACACCACACTCAGAAATCAGAACTGTTCTCTCAATTAATATTCCCTCACATGCTGGTACAGAAGGAAAACCAAATCTGTTCTTACAGATGAAAAAGCATTTCCAGGAGCATAAAGAATAAGGCACTTAAACATTTCCCGTTAACTATTCTTTCAGAGCATCTGCTGCTGAAGGTTGCTCCTCTTGCAATTTCAGTTTGTTTTCTGCTGTAATTCCTAGAATTGCTTCGATATCTTGAATTGCCATCTGCAACAGATTCAAGGAATACAAATTGTTTAATGGGCATTATAATGAAATCCAGCAGCCAAAATGCACATCTGGTAGCGCTTGCCCTGCAAAGGTAACCAGTGTTACACAAGACATGATGCACCACCAATTAAATTTACTCTGGGGACAGTTGTGGGAATTATTAGTAAATACATACAAATCTCAGGTAAATAAATACAATTCATTGTAATTGTTACTTTTGATTAGCTAACAGTTTCTCTATTTCACATATGGAAATCGTTAAGTCACTATGAAGGAGAGTTCCCTTTTGTAGTTCAGTGGTTGCTTTTCACTCCCTCATATTGGAAAAAGGTTTTCTTTGCTTATTCTGTAACATGTTGAAATTTAATTATATCTTCTCTAAACCTTCACTTTATGCTCCACTTGGCAGAGGAAAGTACAGTCAGGGTTAACATGGGAAAGAACCTGGTAGAAAATACGCAAGTTAAGGTACAAGTCTGTAACATGGTGCTCCCCTTTCTACAAAATGTTTTCAGGCAGGATCTTGGTGAGTTTTTCTGAAGTTAAAGATGATGGAGTTTAGCAGAACTCCCTCTGGACAGTTCAGCTATTCTCTGGAATTAAAAAGCTGTAT